CCTGAGGCTCTCTCACCTTTGGGTCTATGCAGTATTTGGGTGTGTGGGAACTAGATCTTTGACCTAAATCATGGGTAGGCATACTAAGGCCCGGGGGCCGGACCCGGCCCAATCGCCTTCTAAATCCAGCTCGCGGACGATCCGAGAATCAGTGTGTTTCTACATGAGTAGAATGTGTGCTTTTATTTAAAATGCGTCTCTGGGTTATTTGTGGGGTCTGCCTGGTGTTTCTACACAAGTAGAATGTGTGCTTTTATTTAAAACACATCTCTGGGTTATTTGTGGAGTATAAAAATTTGTTCACCACCCCCCTAAAAAAATATATAGTCCAGCCCCCCACAAGTTCTGAGGGACAGTGGACCGGCCCCCTGCTGAAAAAGTTTGCTGACTCCTGACCTAGATCTAATTGTTCTTCTCCACATTCCAAGCTGAAGTTATCTTCAACAGGTGTGGAACAGAGCTATTCCTATTCAGAACGTTCCACTACAACCGCATCATAAAAAATACCTTTTGTAGATCATTGCCTGGTGAATCAGATATGATCAATATTACGACAATTAACACCATCAATTGCATGTTTATTCAAACCCTTGCCCGTTATTCCTTTCAAGTTTCATCACTCCCATTAGAATTCCATAACTGCTTTAAAAACAAAATAAGCAATTTCTAATGCTCAGTACACTTAACTGGCATATTGTGAACTGGTTCCATTCAAATGCTTACTGGTCGGCAACATAGTGAAGGAAACAAGCAAGTTCTCCTGAACCCTTGGCCTACCTGACAGCAAATCAGTATGTTGAGACCCCGGTCAAGGGTCAATCCAGGTGTCCAGTGTCCAAACCAAAGCACAGTCCCACGTAAATCATGAAGCATCCAAGCCAAGGCCCATCAATATGGGCAGCTAAGCAGACACAGCACCTCAGCTCTGCTTCCTTTTGGAATTTCCATGCTGATTGCAGCATCTGGGCTTGATGAGGCACATGAAGCTCACCTGTTCCAAACCTACTTCCCTCCTTCCAGAGCTAGTGAGTCTCACCTGGCCAGCTAGAGAGCTGGGCTGTGGGCCCTTGCCTGCCTCTGATTCCTAGAGCGTCCCTCTTGCTGCTCCTTATGCCTCAGAGGCCACCATTTTCATGGAAACAGGGGGCGCTCTGGTTCTGGTGATGGGTCCTGCTGCTCTGGTTCCTGACCCCCTTCCAACCTCTCCTTCCTCATACCCAGCTTGCCCCAGTGTGCCCCGGTCCTGGCTACACCCCTCACTAGGATCCTCTCCCTCCTCTTTCTCCTCCATCTATGGAATAGACCTTACATTTTGCCTTCTTGGTGAAAAAACTACTTGCTTGTTCTTTGCAAATCAACAGCAAAAATCAAATCTGTGTACTGCTGCTATGAAATAAGTAGGATCTGATTTAATTTTTTAAGGCTTAAAATAGTCTTTCTTCTCTTTAACATGCCTGATGAACTTGACATTTTCTGATGTCAGCGGCAAGTACCTACTGCATCTTAAGTGTTGCTTCTGACTGTGTAAATCTGCTTGCTAAAACGGGGGTGGAGGGGTGGGGAATCTACTCATATTGTGCTCCTCCAAATAGCCAGGAACAAATTGGTTGAACTTGAGGTACCTATTCTGTGGCAGCATCATTTCAGAAGGCTGGAAAGGGACTCGTAAGATTGAAGTATACCAAAAACAGGAAGAAAGCTATACTAGAACATCTAGTTTTCTGGATTATGTTTTGTGAAGAACCATTTAATCACACGAGCCCTTTGCCTGCAACCTGAATATGTACTGCCCAAATACAGTTTTAACTCTTTAACTGAGAACCAAGGCAGAAGATGCAACGTTTTGTGCAAATACAGTGGTACCTCTGGTTGCGGACGGGATCCGTTCTGGAGGTCTGGTCAGATCCCAAGGTTTCCACAACCTGAGGACTGCTTCCGCACATGCGCAGACCGCTTCTGCGCATGCACACGTGGCAAAACCCAGTAAAATTCTTCCAGGTTTGCCACATGCACATCCCGGTTTACGTAACCAGAGGGTTACGTAAACAGAAGTACGACTGTACATCCAGTCTCCTGCCCATCTTTATTACACCCAAATTTGAATTTTCGTGGATCTCCTTTTTGGCAAGCAAACACTGTTGGGGCAGTTTGTCCAAAGGGTGATGCAAATATTTTATTTTTCATGAAATAGAATATATAGAGGAACAGGGAGCACGAGCCTACATGTCCTTGTTTATAGTTTTGTTGGGGGTTTTTTGGAGTGGCTTCACATGTGATGATACTGCAAATGAAACAAGTTGCTTTTTAAAAAAAGTGATAGATGTGTCCGGTTCGGAGCTTTCTGAGTTTTAACACTGGAACCAGCTGTCAAGATCGGGATTTAGAGCAGCTTAGCACCATAGTCAGCTGTTCATGCCAGCGCTCAGGCTTCAAACATGCAAACATTCAAGAAAACAGGAGTGCACAGCTCAGTGCTAACCCACATGCTTTTCGTAGAAGGCCTCCTAATCAAAATCTCAGCATCTCCAGCTAAAGGATAAAATAGAACAGAGTTGGGAAACCCTAAGACATGAAAAGGCAAAACTAGTCAGCACCAACCACATTAGATCAGACAGACCATTGGTTGGATTCAGTATGAGTCATCTTAGACAACTAGTCAGTAAAAAAAGCCCAACATGGCCTGCCTTTCTTTGGGACTTCTGATGCTACAGAACACAAATGGTGGGTAAATCTCTTTTGAATGTTCTTTTCTTGCCTAGAAAAAAGCCAGCACTTGGAAGAGAAATCTGGGCTAGGGCCTCTCTTTATTAACAGCCCAATGTTCTAGAGCAGTGTTTCACAACCTTGAGCCCCCCATATGTTGTTAAGCAGGCTTCCTCAAACTTGGCCCTCCAGATGTTTTGAGACTACAGTTCCCATCATCCCTGACCACTGGTCCTGCTAGCTAGGGATCATGGGAGTTGTAGGCCAAAAACATCTGGAGGGCTGAGTTTGAGGAAGCCTCTTGTTAAGAGTACAACTGCCATCATTCCTAGTCAGCAAGACCAGTGGTCATATGATGGAGTTGTAGCCGAACAACATCTGGGGACACATGGTACAGTCTACATCAGGGATGGGGAATCTGCGGCACTTTCAGCTGTTGCTGGACTCCCCAAATCCTTGGCCACTGCATACTGGCTGGAGCGGAAGGTAATTGAAGTCCAACATCTGGAGAGCCACAGGTTCATCCTTGGTCTAGAAAGGCCTGGATCTCATGCTTTTTCTTTAAAACAGGGAATCAGACCTTGAGATAAGGGTGATTTCTAGGCAAGATTTAGCCCTATCTTCCATGTTCATATGAGTAGAGTTGGCTGTTCCAGACAGGGTCAGATTCTCCGTGAAGGACCAGTCTTGGAGCTTGAGGGTTCATCTGGGCTTTCCTCTGCCAGTGGCCAGACTGCTGATAGGCATTAGTTGGTAGAGCATGAGGCTCTTAATCTCAGGGTTAGGGGTTCAAGCCTCTCACTGGGCAAAAGATGACCCTTGTGGTCCCTTCCAACTCTACAGTTTTATGATTCTAAGTAGCCTGACCAGTATTAGCACAACTGCAGTGGCTGCCTATAGAATTCTGGACCCAATTCAAGTCTTTATAAGATAAAGAGACTTATAAAGCTTTAAATGACTCAGGATCCAGACCACCTGACTGACCATCTCTCCCAGCAAGAACATAGCCGGACCTTATGAGCACCATCTGAAACCCTATGCCCCCTCCAAGGGAGTCTGGGAGAATGACGAGGGAGAGGGTCAGTTTTGTTGTGGTCTCCCCTTGTCTGTGGAATGTGAGGTCTGTCTGGTGCCAATACTGACGTCTTTTTGGCCTCCGGTCAAGACTTTTCACCCAGGCATTTGATGAAATGTGAAGTTTTAAACCTCAATTGCATGTCACCTAAAGACTGCCCTGTGTCAGGCAACTAACAAATAAGATAAAATTTGCAAAACGAGTCTCGCCCACCCCAAACATTGCTAAAACGGGTAGGTGTGCCCGTTACTGACTTCCGAGCATATTTCTCTTTTTAAGAGATTTCTGGGTTATAGCTGCCTCCCTTCAGATTGCTTCCCCTTCTGCATTTATGCAATCGCCCTGGTGTTTTCTAGTCATGCTGGTTGAATCGTGTTTATAGCTACAGGGACACTAATTGTATTCTGTTCTGGCCACTGTGCCCTCTCCACAGGTTAATAAGTTCACTATTCATACGTGCTCGCTGCTTTTGAACGGTGCGATAAGTGTGTTTTCCTCCAGGAGTGTTAATTAGCTGCCTTTGAAGGTGCATTATTTCCCTCCTCTCCAGGCTACATAGTTGCTTTTAGGCGCAGCAGTTTATGATGCGTATGCAAAAGTACTGGAATGCAGCTAGGGTTTGCCAGGCCATAGCAACCTGCAGAGCACCTATCACCTTCCACAGAAAAATGTGGGGAGCCATGATTTGGCTCATCCCCTGTCTGATTTCCCCCTTGTCCTGAATAGTGAAAGAAAGGAAGGAAGGAAGGAAGGAAGGAAGGAGGGAGGGAGGGAAGAAAGAAATGCAGGCAGCTTGAGTGAATAGAACTAGTGGAAGTGGTTGTATTTACTTCCAGTGCTGCTAAAAGACCACAACTTCTCTTTGGGCTGCAATTTGGTAGTCACGGTGCATCTTGAGATTATTAGTCCCTCCAAACGGCCCCTGGCAAGCCCAACAAATTTTATTGGAGATCTATTAACTACAAAAAACAACACTGATGCTTTCAGGATATTCACATTTGTAGCTCTAATAGGAATTTTGTACCCAAAGAAAGAATAACTTGTACTGTTTTGCTATGCTATCCTGGGGCAAAAAGCAAGTTTTTTTGTTTCTGGTGGTGTTTTTTTAAATATAAAAAAGAAGCTTGAAGATGATTCCGGGACTGCAGAGGGTTGGACTACATGACCCTTGGGATCCCTTCCAACTCTACAATTTTATTATTCTATGTGCTTGGATAGCACAGCCGGAGTAGCTCAGTCAATAGGGCGTGTGGCTCTTAATCTCAGGGTCATGGGTTTGAGCCCCACATTGGACAAAAGATTCCTGCATTGCAGGAGGTTGGACTAGATGATCCTTGAAGTCCCTTCCAATTCTATGATTCTGTGGAAAGTGGAAAGGGCAGAAGAATGAACAAAGTCCTACTAAGTTCAGTGGAACGTACTTCCTGGTAAGCATATGGAGCCCTAGGTAGCTGGAAGAGACTATTCTCTTGTCAGGATAAAATATATGAGCCAATTCTCCAGAGTCAAGAAATGTATGATTCACAGTATTGCAAAACAGCTTACAGTATGCACACATACACAGAGATGCTCACAATGTGAATTGAGGTGACAACACAATCTGCTCATGACTCAGGATTTGGTACCATCAAGAAATACCCTGTAACACAACACTAGGATTCAAGTTCGTAATAGGTTTACTAGATATAGTTAACACATTTTTCTAAGTAAAAAGAAGAAATCTGTATTTGATATTTTAGCAGGTAAAACATTGTTAGCAGTCTCCCCACCTCCACTAGGATGCTATTAGGGTGCGCCATTGAAAAAAACTTACTTTCGAGTAGATATGAATGCACAGAATTGGATTGAATTCATTGCCGCACAGTCTGAAACTCTGATCAAACCTTATAATGAAATTATTATTGCCTATTAAGCGTTATGGATATAGAACACGAGCTTGTGAAAAAGGACATAGCTCAGGAGATCTCCTCCTTTAAGGTTCCCCCCAGAAAAGTTGTTGTTGTTACAAAGCTTGGGGCTCCCCCACCCCTGCTAATACATCCCTCTTGTGCATTTGTGGTGCCATTTTGACTATACAAGCAGTGGAACTCAAACCAGAAAACTGGAAAATAGAAGGAATCTTTCTGCAGTTGTCTTCAGATCCAAGTGCAACATTTTAACTCCCCAAAGCGGACAGTCCATTCTTGACAGTTTTCGCTCTTAAAAACAAGAAACACCAGTGTGCAAAGTATGCATCTTAAACACACACACACACACACACACACACACACACAAATGTGCATGGTACAGCTTAGCATAATTGTACAGACAATAGTTGGCTGCATAATACAGCACAAATGGATTCAAGGCATCCAGATTAAAAACAGACAGCTGTTTAGTCTTGTTTGCTTACTATAAAAGTATCTTGGGTATCTATTCCTTGTTCCCCACTTAATGTTAAAAATCTATACTTTTATACCAGACATTTCCCTGAGGCTGAATATCTACTACTAAGTCTCATGCCTGAAATATCTAATTTCCAGTGAGTGGAATAAAGTTGCTTACCTTATTATTTTCTCACTATATGAGAGCTGCAAGATTTCATTAAAGCAGTAAGGTGACACCCGAGTGTTTTACCCAAGGCACAAGAGATGAACCAGATCTAGGCCACGTACTAAAATATTTCTTCATTCTGGGTGCTTATTCCTTTTTCCTATTGCTTCTAATAATTGAAAAACTTCCAGTTGACTGTAAAATTTTGGGAGGATCTAGAAGATGATTTGACATTTCACTGAAAAAGCTATATACAGCAAGTAAACAGTTGCTTACCTTTAACAATTCCCCTGCCAGAGGGAGATTCTTCAACGAGCTTTTTACTGGGATGTACATCAAGTTTAGGATTTTGGTTGGTTAAGTTATGAACCATGAGTGCCTCAATCTTTCCCCTTAAACTAGAGATGGGGAATCTTCTTCAGCCCTTTGAGGCAACCTTCCAAGGACCACATGCCGTTGATGTGTCGGCAGAGAGGTAAAGTGGAGAGTGACCTTTGTGCAGTAGGCTTTCTTCCTGCTCGCCTCCAACCCTATCTTTCACCCAGGCATGCAAGAAGCATTATCAGAACTCAAGGATACAATGCAGCTGGGCAAAGTCCTGAGAGTTGGACAGAGGAGGACTGCATTTTGCTCTTGAACCTGGGGTGCCCTATCCTTGCCTTAAACCTTATATTTCAAAAGCATACCAGAGGGCAGAACTCACTACGAAGAACAGAGTGGAATCACCAAAAATGGCAGAACTGAGCTTCCCCTTGCATCTACTTTAAGCTCCTCTGCAATCTGATGTCTTGACAATATCTATTTCTACACAAACCATGATGCAGAAACGACCACCTGCCCATCAGAGCCTTGTCCATCCTGCCTTTTTAAAGCTAGCCAAGAGTGGGGTGACAAAATGGGTCCACAGGTGCGGTAAACCTATCTTTGTGTGATATAGGGTTGCATGCTGCCCTTAAAGAGGAACTAGGTAAAGGTAAAGTGACCCCTGACCATTAGGTCCAGGCGCGGACGACTCTGGGGTTGCGGTGCTCATCTCGCTTTATTGGCCGAGGGAGCCGGTGTACAGCTTCCGGGTCATGTGGCCAGCATGACTAAGCCGCTTCTGGCAAACCAGAGCAGCACACGGAAACGCCGTTTACCTTTCCGCCGGAGCGGTACCTATTTATCTACTCGCACTTCGATGTGCTTTCGAATTGCTAGGTTGGCAGGAGCAGGGACTGAGCAACGGGAGCTCACCTCATCGCAGGGATTCAAACCGCCAACCTTCTGATTGGCAAGCCCTAGGCTCAGTGGTTTAACCCACAGCGCCACCTGTATCCCTAAAAGAGGAATTAGTCCACCCTTAAAAATCCCACACTTGACCCAGTGGAGTGTAATTTGCTGTAATAACTGGACCCAGTCATGAATGCCCCTTTCTTGGCAGAAGGAGAAGGTGGTTGTGGAGCAACTGAGGATATTCCTGGATGAGGCTGATTATTACAATCTGATGGTTGCCCTGATGGATGACCGTTATCATGTGAGACAAGAGTAGTGCAACCCTGCTACTTCTGTTCAATCTCTCAGCAGTTTTTGATACCACTGACCATGGTATCTTCCTGCACTAGCTCAGTGGGATGGGTATCAAAGGCACCGTATTATAATGGCTCCATTATTATCTTCAGGTCCATGTTCAGAAAGGAGAAATGGGTGAGGGCTCATCTGCCGCCTGGGATTTCTTCCAATGGGTTCCAGAGGGAACTATTCTTCCAGCAATGCCATTTAACTTATTATGAAGCTGTTGGTGGTTGTCTTTAGGAGTTTTGGAGGAAGGTGTCATATATATGATGTCAGAGACATACACATCATAATGACATCAGGCTAAAGAAAAAGTTAGATCTTGTAGGTAGAGGTGACTCAGCAAGGATAAATGTTCTCTGTAATGTCTGTTTGGCACAGAGACTTTGGTAGGGATCCAAAGACAGATTGACATATATGGAACCCAATGTTAGCAGAGATGGAATTTCTCCCTAACATCAATCTCAAGTGAATGATCCAAACTCTAAACACTGCCCAACGCTTAATTCAATGTGGAAGAACTCATTGTACGGATTTGGATGCATGAACCTGAATCCAGACTTGCAATTCTACACAAAAAGAGATTCAATAACGAATTCTAGTAAATGCCAGATATATGACTAATAATGTTCAAGTGCTTATTAGAAATTTGATAGATGTTCAGAAATATGTTGCTGTTGCACAGAAAAACACCCTCCGAATAATGTGCAACTCCAAAATGAAAAATTTGATGCAATTACTAATCAGGAAAAATGATTCTAATAAATCATTCAACGGTACATTTGCTCTTCATCAACTAAACCCATGGTATCTGAAGTTATTTACATTTTTAAAAAGCTCACCTGGCTTTGCAAATGACATTCACATCATTTGCATGTCACCTGACAAAGGCATCGTACCAATTGCTTATTAATTTTGTGAACTTTTAACAGACCCATAATGAACAAAATGAAGAGATGAGTCACTCAATGTCAACAACTAAAAACTTAAAAAAACACTGTCATCTTATAACTCCTGCTTTAAAGCAAGGATTAGTAAATTGTAGCCACTGAGATATTTTTCTACAAGCCAGTTTGGGTTTGCAAAAATTCTCAAAATCCCAGCTTTCCTGGAAAATGAAAAATGTACTGTTCTAGCCAACCTTGTTCTTAAATATCAAGAAAGCTTAATGTTGAACTTAATGGAAAAAAATCTAACGTAAGACATTTTGTTCCTGAAGAATCAGGAATAAAAAAGACATGTTGAAGGAAGCCAAAATCCTCTTCTTTTCAATCCTCAAGTCCATCTCTCCAGATCTAGCAAGGTATGTTTCAAGTTTCACACTTCTGAGAGTGACTTGTATGACAAAAATATTGCAGAGTAAATGTAATGGGTTCACCAGCAAATCATATGCTGTAAAGTTAAGATGCCCTTTATGTGGGTGCAAAGATTCATTCCTGTCTAGTGCGACTTTTAGCTTTTTTCCTAAAGCAGCTATACTCATCTCTGGCATAATAGTGTGTGGAAGCTGCATTGCATGGTAGTGAACATCTTTTGTACTCTGCTTCTTGCACTATAATGTCCATTTTTGTATTGTAAGCTGCCTAGAGATTTTCCAAAGATCAGGAGGAATAAAATGTCTAAAACAACACAAGCACACAACTTAACACACATGTATTTAGATGTGAGGATTGAGGTTACACACACACTTTTTGTTACTGTAAGGGAGGGTTCTCTTCACTATTGGTAGAATACTTGGCCTACCTGTCTCCTAATCTGTGTACTCTGAGATCAAGCAGGACCAGAACCTACAACGTGTTAATGTTGTCACGCAAGTAAGCAGCAATTAAATGTAATGAGTCTGTGCTGTGTTGTTTTCACTATAATGAAACATGGCCCATTAACAAAATACATGGAATTAAGATATCAAGGTCCAAAGTATCAACATATTGTGACCAATATACAGATGATGGCTGAAAATCAGCAGACTAGTCCAAGGTAGACCCTACTGAAATCAATAAGCAACCATCACTGCTATGTGTGTTTTAAATGCGGGTGATGTTGTACTAAAGAACATGAAGTTCAAAGTAATCTGGAATTACTAAACTGTTTAGGTGAAGTTAAATGGAAGAAATGTGTAGTGGCATTTATAGTTTGAACATAAAGGAAGTTAAGTCTGTATTTGACGCCAGTGTTTTTCTGAAAAAGTCAGACTAATCTTTTCAGCACTGTTTAGAGCATGGTGTTGATGACGTGTCCCCGCAACCATTTCCTTCCATCCCCCTCCCTCCCCTTCTCTGTATCTTGAACACAGCCATTGCTAAATTTCTGTATGAGCAAGTTGGCTACTTTGCTTTGAGCCCATGAAGGTTATCTTATGATTAGTGGAAATTTGTTTAGCAGACACAGAAAATGGAAGATGAAACTGCAGCAAAAGCATGGCAAACCTGAAAGGTCAATTAGTGCATAAATCTATTTAAAAAACAGAAAAGATAGAACTTACAAGCTACAATAAAAGTTATGTCTTTAAAGCTGTAGGTTATATAACAGGGTGGGAAATGTTTAATATCGATTTTCATATGTGCTTCAACAAAGCATTTACAATCTTAAATTGGTGAAATATATACACTTTAAGAGATGCTACATTTTCCGTAGCATTTGATTTTCATATTGTATAAATCCAGACAATTATAAAAATCAGATTATTATGCTTTTCCCACCCTGGCAGAGAATAAACATGAATTCAGAAGCACAGTGGAAGTGGAAAACAAAGAAGAAAAGAGAGAAAAGGCAGCAGAGAAAGACAGAAGAGGTGAATACAGAGCTACAGAAGTGTTTATTGAGCATGCTACAGAGGCAAGCAGCGTACACATAAGAAGAAATTAAACAACCATCAAACCTCCCAACTTTGTTAGAAAATTAATTTTTAATTGTGCCGCTTTCAAACTATACTGAAATATTACATTTCTAAAGATGTAAAAACTCAACTAATAGAAAATATACATGACCTTTTTCTACATAGATAACAGAATCTATGACTCTTGGAACTAAGTACATCAATTGCAAAAAGTATTGGTCATTTGAACAGAATCAAGACAACAGTTCGGACTGACAGAGGAACTGCTTTCAAATTAATTAATTTTTCCTGTAGATTCTGAGTCATGTTTATAGTAAAGTCAGATCCATTTCTAGATACAAAATATTTTGAAGAGATTTATTAAAACTGAATATTACAATGCAAGGTAAATTAAGACTAAAGGCACATAAACTTTGGTCCCACCTGGTTGTCAGTTTTGTTTTTGTTTTTGTTTTATAAAGAAAACTGCCACAAAAATTATTAATCTTCCTGCAAAAGTTTGCAATACACTTTCTTCATCCTTGAAATACATGCACCAACTCCTGAACTAGCTAGACCGGTCTGCACATGCTCAGAAATCCACAACCATATTTCAAATTGTAATTACTAACTAAAAATGGCAATATATATTTAAATGCACATAAGTCATGTCAACTTCAAAAAACATCTACAAAAAATATTCAGCCACAAACAAGACATTACTTAGTGCCAACATTTATATGATACGCCCCCAGAGTGTGTGTACAAAAAAGGTTAAGACTTAACAATGCTTTCCCCACAGAGGCTCAAAGCCCGAGGGGTAAAACAAACTAACTAACAAACCCCAAACAAAATAATCATCCTGTCTTTAAAAGAAATTATTTCTCTGCATCTTGTTAACTCTGACTTATGCCTATATCCTTGACCAAACTAAATCTGGAATACACAAGGCCATTTTACTTAATTAAAAAAGAAAGAGACAAGAGAGAAGCACAAGTCAAATGTGCTACATATCTCTTAAAGTAACGCAACATATTTCATTAAAAAAAAAAAAGATTCATGAAAGCCAATAAATTCCAAGCAGGAGAAACAAAGCTTAACCCTTTTTACACACTCCTGCCTAATACACATTTGGCATAATCCTGCAAAAGTTAGGTGCAGCGATGTCCCTCTGAAATCAATGCTTTAAAAATCAATAGATTTCAATGGGATGTAGGCAAACCTAATGTTTACTGGATTGCACCCATTAATTCCCATGTAACAATGTGCCCCAGACAACCAATTTTTTAAACTAGTAAATGCAATTCTAGCAACTCTAGGTTTTCCTTTTTTAAGGCACGTATGTTAACTAAGTTGAAAAACTATGGGATTTCCTCAGAATCCCTTTTTAAACAAAATCCTTTCATAAACATATGCAAAACCAGCAGATAATACCACTGCTTCTTCCTTGTAAATCCTTTTTTGTTTTCATTTATACATAAACAATCAAGGAATGGTAACAGCATGAAAAACAGATGTCCATCTCTGGTCCCCGCTTTCCCGAACAGTCATAGATGACAACACTAAACAACGTGATACAACCTTATTATTTTGATCTCGCACTTCAAATGGTTGATTTGGAAAAAGAAACTCTCAGATGATGATTTTCTCCAAGATTGTAATTATGCAGATCAATCAAAGCCTGGATAGCTTCTTCTACTGTTGACATCTGAAGAAGAGCCATCTTGTGATCTCTTCTGGAACAAAGCAATAAAATTAGATACCAAAACAGCACTAGAAAATTGTAACATAAACCTTGTTCTTACCAAAGGCAGCTGTTCTCTCGTTTTAAATGAAGTTTCAAAGAAAACATGCTTACTGAAAAAATTTAAATGCTTTCACAGTTCCCCCAGTATTAGCAAACAGCATGCGTAGGTCATCTTCGGATACTGATGGTCTAAACAAAAAGGGGGACAAAGGGGAGAAGAGAGAGGTGATTAGAAGCTAACGTTTGGCTCTTGTATGAATCTTTCAGCCGTGTTCCCCACACTTACGGGATATTAGATAAATGAAGAGTTGCAGATGGAGGGAAAATATTCTGAAAGTTTTTTGACCCAGGCTTCTTGAAGCGATGAAGAGGTGAATTGCCAAAGTCTTTAGTCAGTCCTTGGTCATCAAGCCCTTCTCGAGGTAGCTGAACTGTCTGGTGTTTGGAAAGAGTCACACGAATAATCTTTCCATACATTTTCTGTCCGTTCAGATGGCTCATGGCTGGAAAACAAAACCAATTATTCATTTCAGCATTTCTTCTATTGAATTCACTATTGTAATTTCTACTCTGTTCAGTGTTTGGGGTGGAGCATTTGATGGCAATTTTCTTTCGATAAATTGACAAATTTAGCTATTATTGCTATCTGAAAATCTTTCAGTCTAAATCTAACTGACAGCTAATCTAAAAGCTGTGCTTATATTGCAAATGTGCCCAGCAAAGCAATAAACAAATTACTTTTTCATACATTGCAAGTCATTATTATGGTCACTGAATTAATACAAATTATGATTTCAATAGGGCTTTGTTTTCTTCAGACGTATGTTAACTTTATGGGCAAGGATCCAAAAGGCCATACACATTGAGCTCCACATGCACCAGGTTTTTCAAGACCCTCACACCCGCCCCCCCTTCCCAAAAGCTATGCCTTAAGATGCAGTTATATTTGATGTGACTAGGGAGATATACAAGGAAGGGAGAAAGCTTCAACCCTTCACCTGTGCAAGCAAGCAAGCATTTTATGTGTACACAGGGCTCTTTGGATCCCAGCCATGGTATTCACAAAAGGAGCTTGTGTTAATAACAAGGAACTCTCTGGCCTAGCAAGTCACTCAAAAGCAAGGGGAACTTCAGGATCAGATTTCCAAAGCAGTGTAAGAAGTTGTGATATGAGGAAAAAAACATTCTTCCTACACAATCTCAGATTTTAGAAAGATTAGAAGCAAACGCTGAAATTTAAACATGGCTTGAAGGACACCGAAAACTAACGTTTAAGTGGCAAATAAGAGAGAAAAACCCACTAATCTCACCGAGCTGTGATTGGTTTCCATCAGCCATCTGTATAAGAGCACTGTCTTTCTTATTGTATAAAATCTTCACACGCTGCACATCCCCATAAACACCTTTTTAGAATCAGAGAAGTAAATCCAAAAGAAACAACGTTTTTAAGGATAGCTGAATATCACATTTTGACATATCAATGAAACATTTGGAACATGTCTCTCACTTCTCCCAACATTCACGCAAATGAATAAAGAAGAACAAGATTTTGAATAGGTGAATTTTGAAAAAGAAGACATTTTTTTGATAAACCCTCAAAGCTATGTGAATGATATTAAATTAAAGATCATGCAAAATAAAAAAGCATGCATTAAAAGAAAAATTTGCATCTATGGAGAGCTTTAAAAAACAGCAAAAGAAAAATAGCAAAAGATTTACTATTCAACTTTAAAGCCAAAGTGCTAGCTACAAATAAGGTGAAACAAATAATTAAATCAATAATAAAAGTATAGTGCTAACGATAACATACCGAAGAGGGTAAACAGACTTTGGGGCGTAACCATCTTTAGAAGGAGAGAAGAGCAAGCAGCATAAGACAAGAAGAGAGAAGAGTCGAGGAAGAGCGGAGATGAACAGATCATCCATAACGAAGGGTGGTTCCCGCAGAATGGTGAGGTGGTCATGGATCATGGTTCAAGGCGGTTAATTGGGGCAAGTTGGTCCGAGGAACATTTTGTTCAAGCACAGAAGCATGAACATAGGGGAATGGAGACAGGGGGTGTAGACAAGGTAGGCAGAGGAGAAGACAGGGAAGGGCGTGGGAATTTGGGAAGAGACAGGGAAAGGGTAGGTGAGAACAAAGGGAGAAGGATGAAATGGGGAAGGGAAACAGCAATGCAGAAGAAAAATAAGGAAGTGGGGAACAAAAAAAAATAAAATATAGGTCAGTACATAGGAAATGCAGGAATTTGGTCAGAAAATGGTTGGTTTATGTATTGTACAAGAAAACTGAGTAAAATGTAGTCACCCAAGACAAAATATGGGTAAAGTACATCCATATCAAACAGTAAATTACGTCTCATCTGAATGTGAAAAGAAAAGAAAAATCCATGCAATAGAAACTTAAAACAAAAACAAGCCCAACTCTAAACTTTAACTGCATAAGCATGGCTGGTTATGAAATGCAGGCAGGAGTTTTTCAAAATGGCACTCTGATCCAAGCATTTTAATGTGCAAGAGTGTAAATGACAAAAATGAGAAAAGCATAATGGCTCATATTTAAAAAGAGGCCAATAAAAAAATGAAACACATATTCAAAGGAGACAAAAGGATACAAACTATCCCACATTTCATACCAGCTTTCACAGCAAGTCAAAGTAAAGGTACAAGATGATAAAATGCAAAACTAAAGAAAACCTCTTCGATTTCAGAGTTAAAGAAGTATTGAAGTAAAGTGGTGTTGTTGTTTTTAGGAGAAAAGATGAATAAAAACTGTGAAGGAAAGATAAAATTACTAAGAGAGATTGAAGAGTGCTGCAGCAAGATCTTTGGGAGAACCTTCAAAGAAAAATGTGTTAGAGCTGTTCACAAATTAATACTACAAAAATGCAATGACATGTAAGCATGAAATGAACAAGCAAATAATTAGCTCAGGCAAAACAGAACAGCAGTTTTCTTAAGAACCAATTTACAAAATGGAGCACATAGGTACTTGGAAAAATAAACTAAAAGGCATCCAGATCATGCAATATTTACCATATTTTTCTTAGGAAAAATAGGTAGCCGAATAGCAAAGGGTATTTAAAAGATGCTGGCTACCTAGGAAAACAGAAGTATTTAACTATAACAGAAACAATTTATTGGAATCTAATTGTAAAACAACCTTGAGTAGCATGGGGGGGGGGAGCCACTGATCTTAATAAATAAAAAAAAGTAGAAGCAAGCTCAAGATAAAGAAGCACTTAAGCAGTTTACAAAATGAAGCATGGTAAAGGGGAAAAAAGAAGGGTGAACAAGTAGGTTCACTGACCTCTTCATTTAAATTGCTAACCAGGAGGACTGTGTTGCCACCAGCTGAAACTCCAGGCATACCCACACGGCCGGCAGCTGCCGCGGCAGCAGCAGCAGCAGCATTTGGAATCCCCAATGGACTCAGCGCTCCTGGAACAGCTGCAACAGGAAGCCCTAATTTTAAAATAAAGCATATTTTACGAAACACACACAAGTCGTTCCAATATAATCTAATTTAGAAGTGTTGTGCTGGTTTTGCGCCTTTGTCCAGATCTATCCATTTGTAGGTTGACCTATGTGGAATTCCGCTTCTTTATGACAAACCAATGTTCCAAAGAATCCTGAGAGCGAAAACCTCGTTACCAGTTCACTAGCACGCAACACAGAACCTTGCATTTCCTCCCTATCAGTCCTTAGCTTACCATTTCAGTTAACACAAACACTATCCTGTAAGAAATAGCTCACTGAAGGTGTTTGTGCTTAATTTACCCATCAGAAATCTATGGCAGCTTCAATGGCACATGAAAACAAGTCACACTAAACAAATGGGTCAAGCACTTTCAAGTTCAGCTACTCAATAAGGCGTGCCTCCAACATGTCTTTAACTATAAGAAAACAAAGACAAGAGAAATACATTTGACCTGCTCCTTTGATATTTTGCAAATATCTAAGATAGTGAGCGAGGCTTATAGCCAAAAACCATCAAATAATAGTAATAATAATAAATTTATTATTGATACCCTGCGCACCCAGCTGGGTTTCCCCAGGCACTCTGGACAGCTTCCAGTGCATAGAAAAACAAAATAAAATATCAAACATTAAAAACTACCCAATATAGGGCTGCCTTCAGCAAATGTCTTCTAAAAGCTGTGTAGTTCTTTATCTCCTTGACTTCTGATGGGTCTAAATCTTGAGTCTAAATCCTGTGAGGAACATCATTCCTCCTACCACTGAAATCATCACAACTTCTTGCAACGATATACAGTTTGAGAAAAGGCCCAGAGCCACAAAGCACCAAATCTCAAGTCTAGACAGTCACTCCTCCTAACACAGAAACCACAACTTCTTAAATCAAATGCTTTCTAAAAGAAAATGCTGTAGATAAGGAGCAACAAGTAACACCATGACACACCTTTCCCAGAATCCTTTATTCACAAGCTACCTGTGCTGGATGTAGAAGTCATGTGTACCTAAGGTCTTATAAGAGCTGGTTGTTCAATACAGTCTAAATATTATTCAATGCTGCAGAGATTAATTGAAAAATGTGCATGTACTATCAGCTGAACCCTTTGGAGATTAATGGGAGAACACCCTGTAGCAGCGCTGTAGCTGCTAAAGAGCTACTAGGTGCACAATGCCATCTGCAGCACTCACCTCACCTAAGGATGTTTTAAAAATTAACAAAACAAGCTTTTTACCAAAAAATAAAACAAAACCTGGAACATTAAAGCTTCCATATAAAGAATGTGTGCTTGTTCTGAGAACAGAACATTTCCAGTTTAAAAAAACCCAGTTGCAGCTGTTGTCATTCCTCTGCTCCATCAACTCACAAGAAAACGGAAGTACAGTCAACTTCACCCAATGACTCACCCAGCTCTCCCTTACCAAGAGCTCTCCTGGCTCAAGGTGTAGTTTGGAAGAATATTACCACCTTCATTGTGGCTGGGTGATCCGGGAAGCTACTGTGGCTTGTGAGGATGTTTAAAGGGGGTAATTTAAAGGGTGGTGCTTTTTTTGGAAGACTGCTTTAAATTACTCTTAATCTTCCTCTTTAAGCACTCTGCCAATCTGTAGTGAGTGAATACAAAGCATTTTCCCAAAAAAACCTCACTCAAAGGTGATAATGATCTCAGCCTTTAGCACTATTACCCTTTTCATTTTAAAGTCATTTTTTTAAAAATCCCCTTTCAGCTGCTATGATTGTATGAAAGGGTGCTAAAAAAAGTCTATGGTTTTACTGCAAATTACCCTCTAAAAGTTACTCTTTTTCAACTCTCTGCCATACTCCTTGTTTTATTGATTAAAATGGTTGTGTTTTTCCTCCTACTAAAGGCCAGAGAAGAGCAAACACATGCAAACATTACACAAGATATGGGCACAGCCCCCACTCCTTTTACACATAGTATTTCCTTAAGGGAGCTATATGTAGGCAAAACCTTCTGAACCACATTTCTCGCGTTATGAATTCATTTTTTAAAATTCAAACATAAAAACTTAAGAAGAACCCTACTGCTCCCAGTGGCCAACTATGGCCAACTAGAACCTTATGTGAAGTTCACAAGCAGAATGGAAGTGCAACAACACACTGTCTACTGGTGTTCCTAACAACTGGTATTCAAAGGCATGCTACCTCCACAGCATCAGAGGAAACACACACATTTTGCAACACCAATCATGACAGCATCTCTCCAGCCACACTGGTCTGGCGCCAACACATTCCTTTTCTCACAGGCACCAGGTTACAACTTCCCTTTCCCCTCATGCATCTGGTTTGCTGACAAAGTTTGTGGATGCTGTTGTTGTTTTATGTATTGATTTGCTACATGCTCATATCCATTGTTTTTAACCATGTTGAATAAATTTACTAAAGCCAATTCAACGCTAATTCCTTCTTACTACTAGGTATTACTTGTAGCATAAGGACTCACAGAGAAGACTGACAGCGATTGGCTTATTCACAGAAAATACAGGAGTGAATTCTGGTGAAAGTATCCAAATGCAGACAGAAAGGACTCAAATGCATCTTCAGTTTTAAATTTGCGAACTTTTAATTCCCAACCCATCCCCTGGGTTAAATTAAGTCACCACCATCATGTTACTGCTCTTAAGATACACAAATAGACATAGTGAACTTCTGGCATTTCTCCTCATCCAATTTTCTTTAATAGAGTACAAATTTTATATCATCAATCGAAATCAAGCACTTCTCCTAATAGATTGAAACTGAGTTTTTCTATTTGTAAATTGGCCATCCTTTTTAATGAGCAGTTATCCTTTTGCAGAAGAAAAAATTGTATGAGGAAACATATCATACGTATACATCTGGGCCAATGATATCCATTAAAGTTTTACCTTTTAATCCTGGATACCCAGAAATAGCACCAGACTGTATATACCTCAGATGAATTAAAGAATGAAAGTTAAGAGAAAGTATGAATAGCACTGCACTAGTTCTGAATATTATGTTACATCAGGAGATAGCAGACATGGACAGCAGAGCCCCAATGTTGTTGGGGGGTTTTTAAACTGAGGGATTGTATCTAAACTTCACACGGTCAGGAAAATCACTAGCTCATGTGCACGTAAGTATTTCTCAAGAGAACATTCTTGCTTCTATATTTAATGGGGCCTGGCTGATAAATAAAATAAACAGAATCAAATTGCATGCATAATCACCTATAGCCATACTCACAGTTCAGTGCATTTCCCCTTGAAGCAATATTCATCAGCACAAAGCAAAAAGTAAATTTAATTGTCTTTCGACAATACAATGTGTTGCCCCAATGAAGGGAAAGAGTAATATGATTTCAGCAACAAGGTTGCCCCCACCCCACTGCTTACACCACAGAGAGGTAAGCAAAAGGAAAATGAGAAATAATTCTCAACTCTGCAGCAAGAACACATGGAAAGAAGTAAACATAAGAATTACATTTTCAAACTTATTAAAAATGCCTTGATATGCCACTGAGCTTCACTGTAATACATATATAGAGACTGTAAACCTGGCAGTAGATGACATGAGAGTGGCTATAACTTAACAGTAGAGAAAATGCTATACACAGAGAAGGTTTAAAGTCATGTCTGAAGCAGTAAGGTTTCATCAGTTCTGTGATGAGAAGACCACATTGCTTCAGTTTTCATAAAAGAGGAACCGTAGCGATATAGGAGTTAATGCATCTGAGATTGAGGAAAAGCCAGGTGCTCTTGCTCTCAACTATGTGGGGCCAAGCAATCCCCATCCAATAATACTAGAAAAGGCCTTACATGAAATAGCACATGTATTAAGATTCATTTTATAGGTTCTGGGGGGTACCCAATGAATATAAAACATATGTAGTAAAGAAATGGAATAAAAGAAGCTGAAATAATGGGCAGCCCTGTTAGCTTCAGTAGCAGGTACTCAAGTTAAAAGACTGGGAGGGATACAGGTTAAAAAGGAGTGAGGAATCAGCTAATGTGAACAGAATTTGTTGAAAGGGAAGAAAAGTTTATTGAAAGTAGTAATCAACAGACCTATTCTTCAGAGCTCAGGGTCTACTTTATTCAGTATTCTCATTAATGATTGCATGGATAAAAAGTTAATACAATCTGCAGATACTATCTTAGAAGACATTGTAAATAATGAGAATGGAGAGAGAAAGAAACAAAATCATACCTAGAAGAGAGGTCTCCTTTGCAAAGGCAGCAGCAATAGCAGGATCCAAAGCTGGTTGGCCATCACCAGAGGGAAGGTCAGGGCGAGTATAATCCCTACTTTTATCATTATTATACTTTACATTCAAGTTGACCAATTTGGAAAAATCAATCCGTAAGGTACAACAGGCATTATAAATATTCTGACCATCTAATGCCTAGAAAAATAGGAAAACATTAATGAAGATCACATGACAGATGTTACAGCTGAGGTTTAACCATATATACCCATACGTCCATTGAAATTAATATGAAAATGTTTAAAGTGCATCACCACATACATGGAACTGGATACTATCAAATATTATATTCAATAGTAGTTGGACATTATCAGCTAGATAATGCTGATATACTTGGTTTAACTTTGTATTATTTTTTATTTTACAAAAAGCGGGGATGTAAGGTAAAAAGACAGCCAGAAAATTACAGACTGGTTAGCCTAGCTATTCTAGAAAATTTACTAAAACCATTGGAACTAGAATTACCGTATTTTTCTGTGTATAAGACAATGGTTTTTGCTAAAAAATAATTAGTAAAAAAATGGGGGTTGTCTTATACATGGATGGTGAATGCACAGGGACTCAGGTGGCCCGGGCTCAGGTTCAGTCTCTGGCATGGGCAGCCTGGGCTTAGGTTTGGGTTCTGATGTGGGTGGTTTGGTCTTGGGTTCTGGCAAGGGTGGCCTGGGCTTGGGCTTGGGTTCTGGCACAGGCAGCCTAGGCCTGGGTTCTGGCCTAGGTGCCCTGGGCTTGGGTTTGGGCAGCCTGGGCATGGGTTTGGGCTCTGATGTGCATGGCCCGGGCTCAGGTTTGGGCTCACAGCAGCCAACCTGATGCCTATGGAAAACATGTAAGCAGGCCCCGAGCACAAGAACACTCTCCCCTCCTGCAGTTTCCAGTAACTGGTGTCAGTTATGAAGTTCAAAACAGGCATTTCCTTCCTCAGATCTAAACTTCAGTGATCATACTTTCCACTGAAACAGAGGTGAACATAGCTACTACAGATTCCTTCCCTCAGATGAAATGAAATGGGGTTATCAATGCAAGCCTTCCAGATGAGTGAAATACCCAGTGGCACAGCTGGATGACAGTAGTTTTAAGGGCAGAAACTGAACATCTTTTCATATCCAACTCCTGCAAGGCTTCAATATAATGTATATTATAAGTATGAAAAAACATGCCCCCAAAATAAGCTCGAACAGATACCATACAGGCACAAAAGCATAAAATATATGTTATGTTGTCATGTTCCCTATTAAATTGTAAAAATAAATATAGAAGTTCCTTTCCAACTTCAAAAATGAGGAAACAAGAAAAACCTGAGCTCACAAGTGACTCTAAATGAGCATCCATAAAAGCATCTCACAGCATGCATGCACATAATTAGCATCTCTTAGATGATGCAAACATTTGCCATCTGTTTTGAGACCTCAAGGAAACCAATCCAACCTATGGAACACAAGCTCTGACACTATGAATAGCTGTGGTGATAACGCTTTTCCCTGTCTCACACCTCTTCTCAAATTTCTCTCTCATCTCTCTCCCGTCTTCAACAGTATCTTATCACCACCTCAGTCAAGAAACACCAAGCAATGTCAAAGTATATGGACAGCAGGTGTACTAAAAAAATGAAATGGCACTGTCCTCCAGGCACATTGAAACCGAGAACAGAGTGGCTGGATCGAGGAATGTGTTTATCTGAAACCAAAGTAACACACAACAATGTTGCAACACTTGTCAGTTTGACAATATTCCTGTGAAGAGAACTAATCAAGGCCTTTCTTTCAGAATTAATTGGCAATGAGCTGTGCTGCAACATATAGCTGATTAATCAAACTGATCACTTAAAAACTTTTTGATTAAGGAAGAGTTTCCAATTAATTGAGCAGATTAAAAGTAGGAGTAAACTAACACATGTTTCTGTTAAATCCAGATTTTAATGTATTGCTGGTTATTTTTGATGGAGACATCTGATCTTATATGTATATACAAATTACTTGCACACTTGATCTTAAAAGCCAACGTTTATCCACCATGATGGTATGCATAGAAGAGCTTATTTATAATTCGGTGTGTTTTGCAAAGGCAGAAATTTTAAGGCAATGGCAACGTCAGATGCTTCAGCTACAGTAACAACAGTCTGATAGGGAAATAACCCAACCTGAGCCAATGTGAAATAAAGAGAATCATTTTATGCCAGAATTCACTTTTTCAACCTGAATAGCAAGTCTGAACGTCATAGGCACTTCATAGCCAACAGTGATGTTGACAAGGCTATTTTCATCAGACTCCTTAGGAAATGCTACTTCATCTAGGTGCTTGATTTTCTTAAATTGCTCTTTAAACTTCCTTATTGAGCCTTCAATTTCTTTGAAGGCCACATTCCGATTCCCTATAAAGAGCACTATCTGCAAAGTAATTTTACCATTAACCTTTATGGTAAAAAACTGAAAATTTCATTTAGCTTCTCTTCTGCAATAGTAGGTTTTTAAACTGACCCTTCAGAATGCTGGATATTTTATCACCCAGAGGCACATCATGAACCGCTTTAAAAAGCATCTTAACAGTGTATTTAGATGTCTAAGGTCTGTAATCCTATACATATTTTCTTGGGAGCAAATCCAATAGAATTTGGGACTTGCTTTAGAATAGACACACAAATGATTGCATTGTAAATTATCTCTTCACATTTCTGCTTCATAGCTTTACTTATCAATTCAACGAATGTTTAGATTGTTTAATGTTTATAAATGCTGGCTAAGACTAGAAAGCAGGCTGTAGGATCTCCACCCTAATTTAGATTATTTTCTAAATGTAGCACATAAACAAAATTCAGGTGCTCAACCTAAATCAATGTACCAACTCCAGGCAGTTAAGCATTAGGTAGAAATATTAGATATGAAGTTCCCTGCCACAGCATTTTCTTAAAAAGAACCTCTGTCAATACTTTCCATTAGTTTATTTCTCAAAGCCTTAAGAAAACAGTTAAGAGAAACTTAGTAATTTGAAAAGCATAACATATTCATTTTGGTCCCAGGTTATTTTTGGGTGAAACAGTGATGATACTATTGATTTAGGAACAGAATGTTTACTCACAGGCAGTAAGATCCTGATGTTCATTTATAATCTCAAAAGTTACTTATTTTGTCCACACAAATACATTTTTGACAAAACAAGTACTGCCAGCTATACGTAACCCTATACTTATTAACAGAGGCTAAACAGAATTAAATATACTTACTAGCTTTGCTTGTTGGGCATTTACTGGATCACCATACTGTAACAGTGCTTGAAATTGATTATTTTTTGTGAATGTAATTATTTTCAAAACTGCACCAAATTTAGAGAATATCTGTGAAAAACAATCAAAAGTACACAGGTACTCAACTTTACAAGTCACAAAACAAAACACACCCACACAAACCACTAAGATGTTACATCAGTGTATCTGGTTAGTTTCAGAGGGGCAGCTGCAATGGTCTGTTGCAGCAAAGAATCTTGGGGCACATTAAAAAAATGAATATTTTTGGACTAGAGGATACTTCATCAGATGCAGGAAGCATTATGCTCACTTGGCAGGTATATACACACATGAATTTAGAGCAGGGTAAGATTTATTTATTTATTTATTTATTTATTTATTTTCCTACTGAGGGTTGCATTCCCTTGGGTAATTAGTTAGGTACATTTACTCATTCATTCAATTTGTGATAAATGAATGAAACAATCTAGGCATCATACACTTTTATTCTCTTTTTTGGGTGGGTAATGTTAGAACCATAATAACCTTAAGCAACAGCCAGCGTAAAGACCCAGATACAAAACTTGAAGAATAAAATACAGCACTGGGATGACACAGCTTGAAGTTGATATCATGGGAGGCAAGCAAACCAGTCAAACCAACCCTTCATTCGTGTTAACTTTGCCGGTGCCACCAAGCAAATTGTACATTAAAGCTTTTAATGCAGTAGTTTCAGAACTGGGGTTTGTTTGTTTGTTGGCATTTTATTTCCATCTAGCCACAGCATTCCCAATCCCTCCACCTGTACCTATGTGTATACACCTGCCAAAAGAATGACATATCCAAGTATAGCAACAAAAATAAACACTGCCAGGAGAGACATGAAGAGCTCATGTCAGAGCTCTTCAATGGCCAGTCAGCCAGCACCCAAAAGTCCTATTTTTTCCCACTGTGCTCATTCTAGCAAATAGGTGAATGTCAGGCATTTACAAGTGGAGCTGAACTGAATTTTCACCTTCAAACATTTTTGAGGTCTCCTATTTTCCACTTACAAAAAAAGTTTAACAGGACTTCTCTCTCCTTTATGACATAATACCAACCAATCAGGGATCACAGAATGAACACATTCTATTTGTAGCCTGCTCTTACATGATGCTCCAACTTGTTTCCCACCTAAGGAACTGATCAGGTCCACCCCTGCCTAACTGTAGTAAAGCTTCAGGATCAAGTACCCTTCATGCAGTTACCATGATAAATGTCAAAGACATTTTCAAAGACATTGTTTTCTGGCTACATGAAGATGTCACAAGGCCAGTCTGCAGCCCTGATTCAGCTCTAATTGCACCAGAAGGCACATGTAGGTACACAATTCACTAAGAGCAGTCAATTGTCAACATACAATATCTGCGCTCAGAAATACACCCAACCCAACACATTGTATTTTGCAATGCTGTTCTGTAGCAGTTTCATTGCAACGGTGTGGCAAATTTAGGAAGACTCAGGAATATGAAACTCATGGAAATGTGCATTTCTGAAAACATTCATGAATCTTGGACCATACGGTTCTGCTGAATTCTTACAAAAAGTTTATACTCCCTTCCACATCTGGGGGGCAAAACAAACATTCTATGTAGATCCTGAAAGTGTATTTCCTGTCCAGTTTCTGTGGGTTGAATTGTGCAGTAGAACCTCCCCTCCCCTCCCCCTTTCCAAATATGCTACAGAAGGTTGGAAGAATTCCCCAGAGCAGGTTTGGGGGGAAATGGACGCAGAAGGAGGAGAGGGAAGGTAAGTTCCATTACACAAACTGAAGTTGTTTTCTTTACTCAATGACCATGTTTACTGACACATTTGCTTGGTTCTCGGCTCAAAAAATCCCCATAAAAAGAAAGACTTACTTGGTGGAGAACATCAAGAGTTACAGGATAATACATGTTGTCAATAATTATTCTAAGGACAGGACTCTGAGCTGGCGTTACTGCACTCTCGCTAACTGTGGTTCCACTTATGGGAGTATTTGTTGTCTGTACTGCAGTCACTGCTTGTAGAACAGCTTGAGCTCGCTACAATAAAAGAGAAGGGAAAGCATTCAAAATGAGAATATGTGAATTAGATTTAAAGATTAGTACATTCCGTAGTTGCTTCAATGTACCTTTTAAAAAAGTCAATGACAGAATGGAATTTCTAAAAATATTTTAGCTTTTTTTTTTGCTCTCCATATGACAGTATATTTCATGCACCACATCTTGACACTCTTTATCTACATTAAACTGGATGTTGATAGTGTATCAGAGTGTAATAACTTAGACTAAATTTGTTAATGCATACCAGATGTATATTTTTCTGAAATGAAATCAAGATGGAAGGGGAGAAATCTGTGCTATTGCAGGACTTACCTATCACTTCTAAGCATCAGAAACAACAGTACTCTCATCAGCTGAAGAGAAGCCAGAGATGGAATAGGTATTTCAGCAACAAAATACTGTACATTTTGTTGAAATAAGGTGCAGCAGTTGGCCACAAGCAAGCTCTAGAAGATTGGGGTATATTCTAGATGCACAGGAATGTAAGCTTAGCCATTTTTTTTTTTTTACTTTCTTTTTCATTGATGGGCCCGAGACCCATTATTCCCCACCTTTCCTCTTCAGTCCAACCGGTTCCAAAGATTGGAAGGAAACCTCCAGCAAAGAAAGTACTACTGCTTGCTGATGAACAGAAGACGTAAATAAGAAGACTGCCTGAGAACATAAGAGTGCAAAGGAATCCAAGCTTCTGTATTGTGAATAATCTATTTTCTCACAGGAGAACACTTCTGGATAATGTATCTCTTGGTTTTAACAAAAAGGACCTCTCCCCCTTTTTGCAGTTAGCGTTTTAGGTTAACTTGACAATTCTTTGTACTATAAAACTTAACTGGAGTCAGTCAAAAATAAAGGTCAGCTTAACCAAGTGTTCTTCAGCTTTGAGTTCAAAAATGTTGATGGATTACAAATTCTATCACCCTGGTTAGTGAAATCCAGTCAAGAGGGGCTGACTGAATGGGAGCAGGGCATGGTGAATTGCATTTTTATGTGATGGAGTGGCACCTGCAGCCCATAAACAGGCAGTGGCACATCCACTCATGAAGAAACCCACCTTGGATCCTATGGTTTACAACTATTACCTGGTTGCAAATATCCCTTTCTAAGGCAGTGGAGAGGCTGGAGGCCAAGCACTCACAGGAATTCCTGAGGGACATGAATAGTTGGATTTGTTTCCATCTGGGATCCGGTGCAGTTGTGGGACTGAATCAGCTTTGTTTGCCGTAATGGATGAAATAATAATATTTAATATTATTACCAATAATAATATTATTGGTAATAATAATATTACCAAGAGTGAATGGGGGAGTTCAACTCTGCTTCTCAATCTCCCAGGGCTTTTGATCCCACAGACCATGGTTTCCTCCTGGACCACCTCTGTGGTGCCTACTGAAGTCTATTATATTATTATTTCAGAAGGCATTTTAACCGATTTTATAATTTTAATGGATTTTTTCCTTTTTGTATTGGATCCTCAGAAACCACTTAAGAGACTATTGTAGTTAATCAGTGTGTAATTAGTTTGTATGTATGTATGTATGTATGTATAAATAAATAAATATTAGGTACTATTGTTTTCTTCTTTTATGAATCACCTCCCATGAGGCATCCCAAAGTATTTTCACAACACTTATTAAAGGTGATTAAAAGTTCTATTCCCAGCTCAGCTCTAGTCATGCAAACCTAGTCCTATGCAACAATAAATGACCCTGGATGGCAATGAAAATCTACATATGCATCAAATATGTGTCCAGTCAGCCTAATGATGACTGGATGGGCAGTATAATCCATGTACTGAGCCATGCAGGTGTAATCCACTGTGATGCCTTGTTACTTTTTATATATTATCTCTAAGTGTACGATCCTGCCTTTATCTGTACAAGGTAAAGATCTTGTACAGGATCCTTGCCATTTGCAGCTTATATATTGAAGGTATCTGTTTTTATTTCTTTAAACTCCCCTTTAGTTTTAAAGATTCCCCTGTTAGCCCAGAATAACTGGGTTTAGGCTATGTGATGAACAGACCAGAAGTTTTAACACTGAAAGTCAATATTTACAACAATCTGTTTATATTATCAGATTATATGATTTTTGCAAGTTAGGTGTGAAACATTTTGTTTGATATTTACTTTAAAATGTTACCGTTATTTCAAAGTACTATGTACTAGTTTTCTTCCCTATTCTAAGTCAATAGCCTTTATCCCTTCCAGTTAACACATGGGCTTTGCAGAGGATTTAACCTTAAGTCTTCCCTCTAGTCACTTCTTCAGCTTCAGCCTTCTATGGTTTCAGCCCTGGTGTCCTGAATTCTTTCTCCCTGATGTCACCAGGACCGTTTGCCTCTCAAACCTGCTCCAGCTGCTGCTTCTCCAAACTCTGAACAAAATCTTAAAGTGGTGTGTCTGCACGTTAATTCTCTTCAACCAAAACCATTTAACCAAGCAAAAGCTACTCTCTGATAATTCAACAGCTCACTGATTTTTAAACCAATGAGTTTGGAAAGTCCACTAAGAACCTATCAGAGCCTGACCTTTCTGATTCCAATATCTGACATAAGAGCAATGGTCTTACACATCAACTGACAAAAAGCTCACGGGACACACACAATCACCTCTTTAGAACTGTACTTGGCTAGCTGTTTCTTGGCAGTTTGCCAACTGAAGGCAGCTTGAATACTGTATCTAAGGTCTCAGTGAAAAGTACACTGTTATCTACCAACCCAATAAATGTACATATAAATTCATTTCACATTTATGCAACTTTTACCGTTTCTGCGTATCAACTTTATACTCAACACAGTGACAGAACTCCCGCTGACACAGTGGAGTGAACTTTTAAAGTCAATCAATTTATTGTATATATCCAAAGACCTTTACAATGTACAGCAGAGGCTAAGAACAATGCTGAAATCACATAACATGACCTATAAAAGGTAAAACATAAAGATTTACAGCATGAGGTTTTAAAATTAGGAAGCATTAACGTATATAGAATGGAGCTTCTTAGCTGCCAGAGTGAACTTGGTACCAGATATGTAATCTGGAGATATTTATCAACTAGGACAGGGGTTGGCAACCTAAGGCTCATGGGCCACAAGTGGCCCATGGACCCCCGCCGCCTGCTTGAGGACCCCTGCCGCCCACTTGGTCAGCTCCCAGGTGCTGCACTAAACCGGTGTGGAGCAGAGCGGGGACTGTCTTCCGCAATGCTGGCCGGCTTCCCATTGGCTGCAGGAAGCTCCTGCAGCCAATGGGAAGCTGTGCATGCCTCCTCCACGCCGGAAGGAGTGCCGGAAATAGTGTTTGTGCATGCGTGTGTGCACACTCCGGTCCACTGCGGTGTCTGCGGGACCGTGAACTGGTCAAAGCCACGAAATCTCTGCCGACCCCTGAACTAGGAGCTCAACTGTCACCTCCTGTGGTGATCGGACTGAGAGACAGTCAAGAACAGGTGATTTTTAAAAATCTCTCGACACTGAATATAAGGGGCAAAGCAGATGGTAATGCACAGCATCCTCAACCTGACTACATCCATAAATGCACCTGACTTCCATGTGGAGTTCCAGGTATCTCCCCTCTAAATACATTGAGGGCATCTTAGTCCTATGCAGCTGCGGGGAAGTCAGTGTCTCAAGGTAATGGGGCCTTGAGTGGTTGATATTGATTTAGGGGTCACTTTTAAAGTCACTCAGATGTTGACTTAGGGTTTTTTTAGAGTCTTCTGAAGCAAGGTTTAACAAATGTTTATCAAAGAGTTGTATCCAATGTAGCACTAAGTTAGTCACTTAGCAGTATACTTGTTCCTGTAGCAAAATGTTTTGCGTCATTGGAACGTAGTTGTGCAAGAGAATGCATAAGCATACTGCTGGTAAATTTTGGGGAAATAGACTGCTCAAGTTTCCGCTAGTGAAACTGTTGCATTGGATTCTATTGTAGTGCAGCCCTAAAACTCCTAAGAGCCCTAAAGCTAATGAATAGAGAATCTTGAATATAACCCAGAAAATCCAGAGAACTATCCATTCTGCATCTGGTAACTATGCTGGTTCTAAGTGCTCACTCACTCAAACAGGGAGCATGCACACACACAAAATCAGAAATGTGTGTGAAGTACTTTCTTAAATAATGAAACTAAAAGTAGTTAATAGCAAAATTAGTAAGTTAAGATCTGAATGAAACTTCTGTCCATGCATACAGCCCTTCACAGCAGGAGCAGACAAACCAGGAAGTCTTACATTAACTAAAGTTTCCCTTTTCAGACAAATCAGGAAACTATGGTTAACATCAGCAAAAACAGGATTGAAGTCCAACTTCAAACCATTTATTCTAAAATGTATTATTACAATTATATCCCACTTTTCCAATAAGAAACCCAATATGGCACATGTGGTTCTCTTCTCTCTCCATTTTATAACCCTGTGAGGTAGGTTAGAGAGAGAGAGAGAGAGAGAGAGAGAGAGAGAGAGAGAGAGAGACGAGAGTGAGTCAATTGTCTAAGGTCACCCAGTGGATTTCATATGACCGAGTGGGGATTTGACTCCTGGTTTACCAGGACCTATCCCAACACTCTACCCACTCTTACCTTCATTGTCTAGCTTGTTCTGCTGCTGTTAACCAAAGTTTAATGGTTTGGCTATAAGGGGAAACTACAGTTAATGAAAGATTTCCTGGTTTGCTCACTCACATGAAGGGGCTGAATGAAAATGCCAAAAGGCTTGTTCATATCTCAGTTTTTTTCTTCTTAAGCTGAAATATGATAATCAGAATGCAGTCACCATTTTTAAAATTGTCCATACTTTTGTCAATACTGGTTTTTTTCTTATATAAAGCATAGATCCATTTTGCCTGAATGCATCATTATAGAGATGCTACAAAAATGTATATAAATATTCTCATTATTATTATTTGTCACAGCTTAAACAACACACATGCATATTTACGCACACCAGCATAAATAATTTTAAATAAAATATGCCAGAAAGGAATGCCACTCTTATTTTATATTTTACTTCCCATAAAACACCCCAAAGTGGTTTAACAATAAGAACACCAACAATAAAATATACATGTTTTATGATCTAGTGGGCAGAATGTAAATAAAATGGTGTCTTGTTACCACTGAAATCAATGGAACATAACCTTTTTGTTCATGTCTTAAAAACTTTATTTTATGAATATTGTTTTCCTAACACTTACACAAAACCTTTGTGGTAGCAAAATGGATTTATGTTTAAGAAGTCAATAGGATATCCCCGCCCCCCTCTGGCAATATTATAAAATCGTACTGAAAAAGCTGTGGTTGGCATTACGCCACATTTCATTAAAAGCAAGATAGCTGGATATCAATAGGTAAGTCTTCTTTCCCAATAAATGTGCTTTGGACTGAAAGGAATCTTCCGGAACTCTCACTTTAGCATTGCCATTCGCTCTTTCTCAATCTTTAAAAACCCATTACAATCTACACAGACACTCTTTACATCCTATATGATTGAGAGTCAAGTTCGATACAGTAACAATAATAGGAGTTCCTTCTCTTGTCTACTAATATGCAAACATTTATTTAGTTCAATATGATTGGGTTATATCAGCTACTACAATGGTGACTACAGGGTTATGAATGGGAATCCTATGTGAGGAGGGAACCAATATATACTAAAAAGTGCAGTTTGTTGAAGTACAGTAGACCCTCTAGTTACGTACCGCTCTGGATACGTAACTTCCGGGTTTCTTTGTGCATGCGCAGAAGCACTCTGCACGCCGTGTTGCGTGCACAGAAGCACTCAATCATGCCGCGTGCGTATGCAGAAGCGGTGCCTCTGCCTACAGATTTTTCGGGTTGCGGATGGACCCCCAGAACGAATTTACTTTGTATCTGGAGGGTCCACTGTACAAGGAAAGGAGAGCTGATGACACAGTAACACTTTAGGATAAACAATGACATCTGTATTAGTTCACAGTGCTAGTCCATAAAGGCAATGTCCAATGAGTCCAGGGCAGGATGCAGTACTTCTAAAAATTGTGTTGGCCTCCTATTATGGAATAAGTAAGCTCTTCAAATTGCAGCACATTCTCTGGCTGCCACACTTAAAAGTGTCATTCAACCGGATGTTATCAGAACAGAATTCAGCAACCATCAAGAAGACAGTTTGTCCTGCCCCTGTAAAATTATTTTGTAACTCTAACAGCTCATGAAGGCTTACTGCCAACAGGTCTTACCAGAAAATACACACTTTCTAAGGATTACCACCAGAGGTAACAAGCAAATTTTTAACACCTATGGAAAACTGGCTAAAAAGTTGATTGGACAATTGTATTTCAAATGAGACATGCCCAGTCTCTAGGCAAGGCTTAACGAAGAGAAGACTAGAACAGAAAGAGTCCTAAAAAGTGTTGCTTGTTATAGCACTGTTAGTATGATCAAGGGAAAAACCACAAGAAACGAACATGAAGATATTACCATTTGACATAGCATGGGTCAGTACAGCTTTAACATCTTTCATAGGAAATGGGAACATCAAATGCTTAAAAAGATCTTTAAAGTTAGCACCTGTAGGAGCAGTAGTTTCCCTGCTCCAGTAAGAATACAGTCTTGATCTGAAAGAATAGGTTTTAACATCTTTAAGATCAAATGACTATATTCTCAGTTATTTCCTGGAGTGAATATGAATATATTTTGCAGTGACTGCATTATGGGAAGAGTAGATCAAATAAGGTGAGGTTACCAGTGCTATGAAATTTAAATGGGTTATTTAAACATACTGGAAATAAGACTGCACATTATCCACATAAGAAGGAAACAAGTTCCTTTTATAGGTGAACTCGAGCTCTTGAGCCAAAATTAATGTCTAAGATGACTTGAGGAAAAAATATTTAGGAAGTTTAACTGTTTAACACTATTAGGCATTTGCACTATTTGCCTTTACCATAAAATAATACCAAATGCAAATCTCCTATGTTAATCAGAATGGGGGGGGGACTGATGATGGGGTGTTCACACACAGGGAATCAATAAAACATTAACAACTATAATCTTGAGAATGGACAAGTTACCTGGTTCAGTGTATTGTCGGTCTTTAACTCTTTATGGTTTGAATACTGGATATAAATGGGCTGATTACGAAGGTGAGGTGTCACAGCAGAGTAATAATTGACCATAGTGATCGCAGCTTCTTCTGTTGCCAATTCCAAAAAAGCCTATAAAAATATTAAAAATGGTTTTGTAGTATTTGCAGCATACATAACTATATTCTGTTTCTGAATTTGCCAGGCTCTTTCATGACGAGACATTTAAAACACTTGCCAAAATCATTCAGAATCCATTACACATTACAGATCTATAGATCTTACTAAGCAAGGACTAGGTCAGAATGTGCCCCAACTGTCCACAAAATGCTACAGGTTCCCTCGAGGGCAAAAGCAGCCACAGCTCTGATGTCTGTTTATAGAAATGAGCATGTATAATTTTTTCAGACATACCCACTTGAAGCAAACTTGGAGATATTTACAATCTGACAGTTAAGGTTGCCGACTTGCTCTTATCCATGGGTTGTTGACAACCAAAACATGGCAAACTGTTTAAAAAAGAAAATGGCAGAGGGGAATCCCAAGAGCAATTTTCAGAAAGAAAAGCACTTTTATGTGGGTTCTCCTCTCCAAAACACAGATAACAGGAGGACCAGTACCAGCCTGGCTGAAGGGAGAAGCATAGAGGTCTGAACAAGCAGCAGCGCTCCAAGCTCCATAACCTTAAAAAGCAAGTGACTTGTTACACCTTTCAGCAGATCACTGTGGCTATTTGAAGTTTGCCAAACCTGATCCTAAATGAAAGGGAGCACTGCTCCACTATCCCAATTTCTGCGAGAAATATGCAGGCTCCAGCAATATGTTGAAAGACATGGTGGCCAATTACCTTCCCCCGACCCAATAGAAAGTATTCATTTTTCCACAGGTTTCAAATTGGTAAATGACTATTTAAAGTCCTTCATATAAAAACCTCCAGTAAACTGTGTCTGTTTACTGGAGGGAATTGGGCAAAGGATATTTTCAACAGACAGCATCCAATACTGTAGGAGAATGGATCTGGATTAATATCCCTTTACCACAGGTTATTAAAGGTGTGCATGATCTCCTGACTTGGCTGTTAGAACTCCTGACCAAGAAGTCAAAAGTTTATAATGTGCCTGTCAGAAACGGCTTATAGCAGGGAGGGGCTGACTCCTGGTCTGGGGACCTGATCCAGGCCCCAAAAAACAGTTTTTGAGCCTCCCAAGATCATGCTGATTTTGACTGCAAAAAAAAGAAAAGAAGAGACAGTGCTGGGCTGGATGGGAGGTTTAAATCTGCCCATCAGTTCAATCATTTGGTGAGTTGGGAAGGGATAAGAATCGCCTTCCTTAGCTAATCTGCACAAATAATGAGAGAGCTTTTAGTGGCCTTTGCAGAAGCTATTATGGTGAAGAAAACAAATGTTTCCTTTGGATCATGTACTTATATTGGGTATATTTGGGGAAAGAATATGAAGGACTATTCTATTCGCCTAAAATGAGTCTTCAGGCTGGTTAAAGAGTTAAGTGCTCTTTCATTGCATCCTCTAATAACTATGTAAAAACACTATTCAGCAGAAAGCATTCCTCAGGCTACTTGCTCAAGAACATCCTCAATAATCTTGCTCAACAAGATACATCCCATCTCATAGTTCCCAGAGTCTATTGTTTCCTGCAAACTCATGTACGTAATTTTCGATTAAGTAGCAAAACAAGATGGATAGTTGTCTCATCCTCATTCTCCAAGTTTAGCCCTTTGAACAAATAGCAGTCCCTTTCAGAAGGAGTAAACTCAAAGAGTGTAACATGACAATCCAAAGCCCGGGTGCAAGGCATGACGGCCACCGCCACATCCACAGCCCCTTGGTCACACTGGCCAGGGTGGAAGGTGGGAGTGGATAGGAAAACCACCACATCAGCACTCAAGGCTAGATCAAGGTTGATGGTGTCAAGGGATGGCAGTGGGGCCAGCTTGGGATACAGCAGTCTTGAGCTGGTTCAGTCCCTCCCACTTCTTGCACTTCCACACGCATCTTTGGCAGGCAGAACAGGGAGCTCCACACTGGCATTGCGACACTGGTGCCACTCCACAGGCAGAATCTTGCAGGGCTGTAATACAGCCTAAGTGGGACTTATTTCTGAATGTTTAGAATTAGGCTGTGTTAAGGAGGCAGGAGAAGCTCCTCAAAGGTTTTCATCTTCTTAAGTCTTTATTATCATAGCAGAACTATAATCTTTTTTATATCAGATTTGGTAAAGTGCTATCAGAATTTACAGTCTGAAAAAATTAGGTTTCTTCAAATGAAATATTTTTAGATAAGATTAGTTTTCAGACACCAAAACATAATTTTTTCACAAAACACATTGAAAGACACACGTTTTTTAAAAAAAACAAAAAAACAGAAGTATAAGATGATAACTGAAGAGATGCTGCATTAACCAGTATTAGAAAGAAAAGCAACCATCAAGCCATATTTAAGAACCTGATATGCTAAACAAAAGAGCAGCTTGGCTCTGATTGCTGAGAATTTGAAGTGCTGCTCTCCCTCCTACTATTTAGGTACAAGAAAATGGAGGCAGGGCAAGGAAGAACTGGTATTTACTTATCTGCCCCTTAATGACTGCCTTCCTTTAAAGTTGGCAGGAGCAGAGAAAATGAATGAGTTACAGAGATATGAAACAGAAAAAAAGACTTCTCAAGAGTGTTAGCTTGTATCTCCATCAGAACTCCAAGTCTTCAGAATTCTCAGCAAACAGGCAGCTCTCACATTGGGGAGTGTAGCATCAGTTAGGCTCTTCACGATGAGTTTCATTGAGCTCAATATGGATTGGGCTCAATCAAATAGGGATATGATTGAGCCACAGCACAGGCCACTGCTGCTGTCCCTCTCTGAATTGATGCTCATAAGGTGGTGACAGTAGCAGAGAACTTAAACTTAAGGCCTGTTCATTACTGTATCTGCAGAAACATCTATTGATGCCACAAAACGTGGGAAAGGTAGCTCCCAGTGCCAGAAGACCACTGTACTGGTAGTCCCCCCACTCTAACAAGAGAAGGCTTGGGAAAGGTGAAACTGGTAGTGAGGGGCATGGTCATACAAAAACAAGCCCTTTCTTGGTAGGCCTGAATGGGCCGGTGCAGAGCTTGGAAAATGAGACTTGGGGGCAGGGGGAGGAGACACATTTGAGTCCACCATTTTGAAATCTACCACCATAATCAATTTCAAGGGGAGATTACAATGTGCATAATTGTCTCCCACTGAAATCAGCATGAGCTACATGTAGTTACCTTTAACTGAATTGTGCTTAGGACCCAAACCTATGTACTGCAACACAACAGCAGAAGATAGGATCAAGTGAATAAAAGCAAATGTCCAACCAATGGGTACTGATGCTTAAAATCTGGCCTTTTATCTCTCTCTTGTAGATGGCGTGTGTGTGTTTGTGTTCATGAACACTGAATTCTGCACTTATTAACTTGAAATATTTCTCCAAGCCTGGCTAGTAGAGTAGGCTCCGTTGCTGGGATATGGCCTCAACTTAAGGCAGACAGAGTATTTAGACTGATTGGTGGGTAGATGTTTTCTATACTAAAATAGTAAGACAAAATTAGAAAGTACCTGGTTCTTTCCTTTCAGCATGAGAATGTTGGTTACCTTACCAAAAGGTAAGCCTAAAGCAATAACTTCTGTTTCTGTCACTTCCCCTGGTAATTTCCTGATATGAAGAACACGAGAAGGAGCCCCATCCATTTTATCTTCACCTTTGAATTTCTTGTTGTCGTTACCATTGGCTGAAAGACATTTTTTTATAATTCATTTCATATCTGAAAGCTACCCTATTTATTATAAACTCATCAAGAAAAATACAATTTGCGCATGCATACAGTTTCCAAATCAGGATGTGAAATGAGTATTTTTTTCTTTCAACCAACATTTTAAAAAGATTAACTGAAGTAAAATGCAGCTGCTAATGTGCTTCCTCACAAAGCCCTGCAATATTTGGCAAATCAACTTACCATGGATTTTTCCTGCAACCATTACATAATTAATTGCCTGAAGCACTGAGAAGCAATGATAACTGTACAATAACTGATAACCATTTCAGGTTATCCTAAACTATGTGCTAGGAAATACTATGTGCCATGGGATAACTGGTAGTACATCTTAAAAAATAAATAAAAGCATCGGTGAGCCCAAAAGGCAATAATTCAGCAAGAAAGGAGCCTCCTCACTGTATTTCTGCATGGCTGACTGCTCTAGTCTTGGTTTTCTTTGAATTAACCTTCACTGCTCCATGGGGTAAGTAGTCCAGCTCCATCACAGTTATGGTGGGATCTGCATCATCACAGTGCAATCACAGATAATTACCTATCCTTGAAAGTAGCTCATGGGGTCTTTATATGTTACTGGTGTGGCTTGGCCTTTTTCCAGTCAGGAACCACGCAAAAAGGAGTTATGAGGGCAGACAATTCTCATTAAACCAAGAAACTTGCCTGGGCTTTGAGTGTGATATCTACGTTCAATTTTAATTGAGGTTTAAAAACAAAGTGCTTTAGCTCTCAGATGTTTCAGAAAAAAATGTGTTAATTCATCCTAAGTAGTCAAGCAACATGGACAACCACTGTGAAGACCCTATTTCTTTCCAAACAGACATAATACATTGCCTCCACCTTTTGTTTTCTGTTAGATAGAACAGTATGCCAAAAGTTTAAGAATCCTTAAATGATACTAAAAATACTATTCAAAATTCAGGCTGCTATCGTAATGTGCTACTCAACATGAGATGGTTGATTTATGTTGTGAGCAAGGGATGTGATCACAATTAGCACAGAGAAAAAAAGCAGATATTAATAGCTACTAGAAGGTGAAATCAATTACTTGTGGAGGGGGGTGGAACTGGCAATTGAGAAAAAGGCAATTAGATTAGAAACAACGAAGAATGCACCGGTGAAACAGAGAATGGTTATCATAATGTAGAGAATAGTTAACAATGTAAATGTTCTCTTATTTCCAACATTTAATAGAAATAATGTATTAAAATCGAAGGGAAGAAGCAATAATACTGTCCCACAAAACCTAGCAGAGTGGCTATTATCAGGTTTAAAATTTGATTACTCATTACAATTAATTACCTGAAGCACTCAAAGGGGGATTAGACAAATTCATGGAAGATAAGGCTGTTAGTAGCTACTAGCCATGATGGCTATGTGCTACCTTCTGGATCACAGGCAGTATATCTCCAACTCTACCTACCAGTGACTGCATTAGATAAGCATTTGGTTGCATTCCCAACATATACACAGAAACGATTAATTGCAAAAAATACTTCCTTTGAAGGACTGTACTTGTGACAATAGTTACAGCAGAATCCTATAATTTCTTTACTCATAAGGCAAGTGTGCATAGGACTGCAGTCTTAGTGATCTACACTAAACTGCAGTTTCTTTCTCACCTCTTCCTACCCCAAGTTAACCCAACACAAATGCAAGGAGGGGCATATTCATATTGTGAATGCCACTCAAAAAGGTTGCTGCTTATACAATTAGCCTTTTCTTTCTCCTAAGAGCAAGGATGGGGAACCACTTTTTAACAGGCAGGCCAGATCAAAAAGTGGCCACTTGTCTTTTAGCAGGTGGGTGGCTCTGTCAATCGCCTTACGTCATAAGGTGTCGGGGGATTCTGAGTCCGCTTGAAAGCAGCAGGCTTTGTATACCATGTTGAATTTAAACAGGGCCAGATGCAAAGAAACAATTGGAAGAACACTTGGGAGCTCCTAAGCAGAGCCAATCTAAGCAGGACTTGCACTGGGCACTGACTCTGCTTCCATGTAACTAGTTTAACTGTAAACATAGAATGATTGCCAGTTAAGAAAATAGAAAAAGAGGGAGTTGTAAAAAGAACGGATCACTAAAAGAGTAGTAACTTCCACTGCAGCCTTTTAGGGCACTATATATAAAAAAGAGAGGCTAAAACTACATGTAGTGGTTTCAGGTTTTTCTACAGACAAGGGGGCAGCAAAGCTGGTAACTTAAGCAAGCAGCATTAGTGAATGGGTGGTTAACACTCCCCCTTCATGCTGGTTTTGTGATTCCACCAGTCTACACACTCACAACTCTACCATATATTCCCCATGGATGGAAAACTATCAATCACCTGCTTTGTGCCTCCCCCTTCCCCAGCACAGGTGCTATAATAAACATTACAGACCTTACTTCAACTGCATTTTCTTAGAAAATGATCATTGCAAGTGGATAACACTGGACTACACACCAGGGATGTTGTAATAGTAATAATAATAATAATAATAATAATAATAATAATAATAATAATAAATTTATTTATACCCCACCCATCTGGCTGGGTTTCCCCAGCCACTCTGGGCAGCTTCCAACAGAATATTAAAATACAATACTCCTTCAAACATTAAAAGCTTCCCTAAACAGGGCTGCCTTCAGGTGTCTTCTAAAAGTGTGGTAGTTGTTTTTCTCTTTGACATCTGGTGGGAGGGCGTTCCACAGGGCGGGTGCCACTACCGAGAAGGCCCTCTGCCTGGTTCCCTGTAACCTCACTTTTCGCAGTGAGGGAACTGCCAGAAGGCCCTCGGCACTGGACCTCAATGTCCGGGCAGAACAATGGGGTGGAGATGCTCCTTCAGGTATACTGGACCGAGGCTGTTTAGGGCTTTAAAGGTCAGCACCAACACTTTGAATTGTGCTCGGAAACGTAAGACACCATCCACTTTCAGTATCCTCTCAGACTTACCTCCTAGCAATATGGGTATAACGTTTGACACAAAACAAATGGGTTAGAATAGCACCTGCAAATTTTGCCTCCTATCTTGGTTTTTGTGAACCACCCTGAGATCTACGGATGAAGGCCAGTATACATATTAAATAAATAAATAAATAATAGATAGATAGATAGGCCAGAGGCTTCCATTCTGTTAAATGAAAGCTGCTAAAAACACCCTACTGATGTGTTTTTAGTTTAGTGCTGGATCTAATTTTTTGAAGCTTTTAATTGTTTTACTAAATATTTTATTGTTTTACTCTTTTTGTAAACTGCTTTGAGGTTTTGTTCTGTTTTTACAGTCAAGCAGTAAACAATTTTATGAAATAAAAAAACACTCAGGAGGTACGTACAAACTGTAAGGGGGGAATGAGCAATTATCGGTTTTCTTTTCCACCTCTGCTCATGAGCTTGCTAGAATTTTATGCTTGCTGTTTTGGTATAAGCATGCACTCAGTCAACCTATATTTTAAGAAGAAAAGGTCAACCAGTTTTATTGTTTTATTTTTGCTATTTGGGCATACCTAATTACTACACACTGCTTTAAAGACCAAAGCAGACGTACAAAACTTTATTGAGCCGTATTTGTTTTAGTTCCAAAAGTCCATAGTTGGGGTGGAGGGAGTGGTCTCTCAGGAGAGTTACCCAAGGCAGGGAAAACTCAATAATCACATATAAGGAGGTTAATTGCAAGTTTTGTCGCAGCAAGATTACTAAGTTCTCATCAACAGTGAGTAAACAGGACATCCTACTTATTGAAATCTACCAAAGATTAGGAAGAATGCAGGCACAACAACTAAAAATAAGCAAACCTGAACTAACTGAGAAATATAGGCTTCAACTTGGCGAAGTTAAATACTGAGAAACTGCGACTCAGATAAGAGCTGAAACCCAAGGAGAAAGACAGACACACAAGACCAAGTTGCTGATCCATAACTGCTACAGTTTGTACAAGAGCACGTGCAGGAGGAACAGACGCCCAACTTAAAAAGAGATACTGTGCCTGCAAAAGGTCCTGTTCACTCAAAAAAAGTTTTTTGAGTTTTTGTTTGTTTTGCCTGCCAATGCAACATTTGAAAAGCATATAGTCATAAATAACCAAAGTTGTTACTCATTGATGGAAGTAGATACGGGCATGATTTACCGTATTTTTCACTCTATAAGACGCACCAGACCACAAGACGCACCTAGTTTTTGAAGGAGGAAGACAAGAAAAAAAATATTCTAAATCTCAGAAGCCAGAACAGCAAGAGGGATCGCTGCGTAGTGAAAGCAGCAATCCCTCTTGCTGTTCTGGCTTCTGAGATAGCTGAACAGCCTGCATTTGCCCAATAAGACACACACACATTTCCCCTTACTTTTTAGGAGGGGAAAAGTGAGTCTTATAGAGCAAAAAATACGGTAATTCTTCCACAGTCCTGCTTCCTTTTCACTCATAAAAGTAATCTAGTTCAGCACAGCCTGTCTGAAAACTTTGCTGTCATGGGTGGCTTCTGTATATTGCAAGAGGCTGACCTTACTGGACAGTATACTATGTACAACTCAGTTTACTTGATTTTCCTCTACCAATTCAAATACCAGGGAGATATGGAAAGCCAAACTCTGTACTTCAGGGTAAAATTTATTTATCGTAAAGTTACTACTGAAAGCCTATGATAGAATATTCTAGCTAAGTGGAAGCCAATTATTTATACTCATTTTCAATAAATGATTCCCAAAATTATATTTATGAAATGCTAATTTAGTATGTTAAAAACAGCCATGTATCAGCATTGGTAAACTTTTACTTCAGTTGAACCCTATACTCATCAATGTAGTAAGTGGTAAGGTCATTCAATAACAGGACTATAAAGATAAAGAAACCACCTTGCAAATTGGAGTGATAATTGAAGAGTATTCACTTGCTAAAGAAGAATTGAAGAATGTAAATTGAAATCTATACAGTTTTCTGACCTATTTAGTTAGAATAGACTTTTGCAATGACACACATTTTAAGCTATGTTTAGCTTCTTCTTAAAAGATTAGAAAGCTGCATTCTTGATGGAAAAACAGTAATGATTGTCCTATATCACATTTTAATTCCTTGTACATTTTTATTCGATTTTATAAATAATATACACAATCATACTTTTTATCTAATTAGCAACTGTGTCATCCACAAATATTGTAAGAATTATTTCTACCCCTTCATCTAAGTCACTGACTGATGAAAAATGTTGAAAGTGGGTAGGACAAAGCCCTACAGAAGACCCCCCCCCAAAAAAAACACCTCCCTCCAGTTTGATGAGGAGCCTCTGATGAGCACTAACTATGGTTTTCAAACCAGGTGTGAATCCTTCCAACAATACTATTACCTAGCCCACATTTAAGCCACATTTAACAAAATTATCAAGGGGTACTCTGTCAGACACTTTGCTGAAATCAAGATAGATTATACCCATAGCATTCCCACCATCCATTAACCTGATTTTAAAGAGTGATAAGATTAGTCTAACAAGATTTATTCTTGACAAATGCTGGGTTCTACTAAGCACTTTCAAACTGATTCCCTTCTTCTCTGTTCTAGTATCTTCCATGATATCAGTCAGAAGACATCAGTTGAAATACCCTCTTATACTACTAAATCTGCTTCCATGAAACACTTGTAAAATGTTTCAGGAAAGGTTAATTTACATCACCATGTTTGTTTGACTGTCCATGGAAAACTCCCACCATAATTTTATTTTTTCCATCCATTTATTTTGACCCAGATGGTATATCTACAAGGCTACCATGGTCACTCTCATGAATTCTGTGCAGATATGAGCATCTTTGACATATAATGCTACTCTCTTTCTGTTGCACCTATTCTTTTTTGAAAAATTTGTAACTTTCAATTATTACATTCAAATCACATGAGTTTCCCCACCAAGTCTGTTATACCCAGCATATTGTATTTATCTTCCTGTATTTGGAGTTCAAACTCATTTATTTTCAATATGCTGCATATTAGTGTATAGTCACTGAAAGCCTTGAAAATTCTGCTCCAATCTCTCTCCTGAGATTTTGCTAGTCAGCCACACAATTCCCTGTTCTCCTACAGCACACAGATCCCTATCTTCAATGCTTACCTTTTGAACTTACCTATCTCCAACTGCTACAGAATTTAGTTCAAAGCTCCTGATCAGGTTCATATTTTTCTTTTGCCAGATACTTTTTTCCAGTCCTAGTAAGTTGCAGCCCATCTCCTTCCAGTAGTCCTTCTTAAGGAAGCCTGCACCAGTCCCAGAAACAGAACTTCTCCCATCAACTCTAATAACTTCAGGTATTATTCTCTCTCTTCATAACCCTCCACATTTTATAAGTAGAAATGGCATGACCACTACTTAAGCTCCAAAGTCCTTCACTTTCATCCCCAGAGCTTCATACATACATATGATAGTCATAGTTGTGCTAGGCAGTACTGTTTGATCTCACATGGTGTGCAAGAAGGAATAATCAGCAGTTTTGGTAAGTCTGACAAACCTGTCCATCACTTCCTGAATTCACACAATGGGAAGGCAGCTTATGTCACAAGTTAACAGGTCTGGTACATTCACAAGCCATTCTGTACCTCTCAGTAGGGAGTCTTCAACCACCACCACAACACTTCTCTTCCTTTTTCTGCAGGCTATGACTGTCACCTTTGTTTTTGAAGCACTGAAGAGTCTTCCTTCCCACCAAGAATATCTTTCTGTAGCTATCCAACAAGATCTTCAGAGCTGTTCTTGTTGAATTAATACTGAATTTCTTTCTTAGCTCTATTGTTCAAACTGTCTTCTGATTCTCCTGCTCCTAACAGGCGGTCTTTCTTGCGGTTTCTTTGCAACTCCTGTTGTCATCTTCTACTCTGATACTCTTTCTGATTTTGTCTTTGCTACAACGCTTCCTATTTCCTGCTCAAGATCTCCTTCTATTCTCCAATGAGGTATGGAAGTATGGAAATTTGCTCCTGTTATCCTCTTTTCATCCCTTCCAACAAAGCAACAGGGTTATACGTGCAGCTGGTGTGGTCTATGGTGCTTTCAGGCAAGAAACTCACATTGCAGGCCACCACCATTAGAGTCCTTGCTGTTCATTTTCTTGGCTCTGGTGCATGTTCTAACAACCACCTCCACTGATGAAGCAACCTTCCTTCATCAATCGTTTATTGCTTGAAAGTTACCAGGGTTCCTGTGGTGAGCTGCTTAGGAGAGAATTTTAGCCTGCTAATAAAATGAGTGGCTCCATTTAGCATGTGCTGATCCCTGGCATCATCAGCAAAGGGCGCTGGGAAAGCCTGCAGAGCAACTGTTACCTTATCAGACACCAGACCTCTCATGGCAAAGGGTGAATCCAGTGTTGCTTCAGAGGTTACAAGACTGCAGTAGGCCTCACAGTGCACAGCAGAAAGACTTATGTGTTAGTGTGGAATTTCTTGATAACATTTTCACTCTCACTTTTACAAAAGGTTAAACAAATCTCTGCCTTACTAGAAAATCAAAAGTTGGACCACATAGAGAGTCTGTTCTAAGTAACTCTAGGATCTTAACTTATTCATGATGCTGAGGAACTTTAGAGAAATGCAGGAAACTTTTCTTTCAATTTAAGGAATCTGAATATGCAAATATTTAAACTCATATCACACGTAACAAAGTCAAATATTTGAAGTGTCAATATTGTTTCTCATCCAAACAGGAACAGCAACTTTCAAGATTACAAATATACTAGAAGCAAGTCAACCACATCAAACCCTATACTTTCATTATACTTCATATATGACCATTTAAGTCAGTGATAGCCAACATGGTGCCTCCAAATGTTGCTAGACTACAACTCCCATCATATCTGACTACTGCCAAAACTAACTGGGTTAACTGTGTTTTAAATAACATTGCTGTATATCAACAGCGTAAGAGTGCATCATGTTGGATACTCCTGATTTAAGAGCAGAAACTAAATGCTTACCTAGTGGTAAAATCTTTAAATCACTGTAAACAAAGCCTGGTATAATTTTTAAGATGGCTATGTGCCAACAGGAGGTTTAAGAGCTAGTAATAGAAAATAGTAGCCTGGCATATGTGACCAAAATATCAAGCATGAATGCAAAGGAGTGGGGGTTCTTTTTAGGCCCCTTTTGGGGCTGGGGGAAGGTCTTCTCCAGAGTAGCATCTGACATATAAGAAGATGCAATATATATTGCATCTTTATATATATATATTTAAAAAGTGAGCTACTCCTTTTGGGCATTAACACAGGACTCTTCTTTCCAATTAGTGCTGCACTAAATACTAACACTTAAATCTTAGATTTTAATGTCAAAAACCTTTGAAAGATGCAAAATCTTCTCCACACCAAAATGCAAAAATCTTCTCCAGACCAGATGCAAAATATTCTCTGCCTTTTATTATTATTATGTTGTAGAGATATTACGCTGCTGCTACATCATTTGGAAAAAAATAACTCTTCTTCACCAAAAAATAGGAATCAAGTGCTGAATGTGATAAAGCCAAAGGTGATTGGCTATGTTACTGAGAGCAAATGAAGCAGTATTTTGACTTCAGTTTGGATGTCCATGAAGAGGGGCAAAGAACTTCCCAGCTCCCAAGGCAATCTACATTTTCAGCAAAAAGTTTGCTTCCTATCTTGATAGACTGAAGAAATACTTCCCTCTCACAACAAACATGTTTTTTATACCCTTTTACCCCTCACTTCATCCCAAAAAAGTCACCCAAGTAACAGCTCGTGGAGGGGTTCATGAAAATATTACCAAAATTATTTCCCTTGCCCTTCCATTTCAACTTGGAACTAATTTCAATACTTAAAGTAAAGGTAATTTTAAATATATTGCTACATCATTAATTTTGATCCCTGCTTAGAATCTTATAAACAAGAAATGTGTTTACAGTGCTCCATAATTAACATTTACATAACTCAAGTTTATAATTAGCAACTTACCTAGCAATTAAAAATTGCCTCCAGGCTACTGCACAAGTCTCCACTGATGCAGGGATATAGCTACATGGCTCTCCCACTCTAATTCTATTTTAATATATTTATATACGATTTCAAAACATATTACCCACTCTTCAGCCATACCTCCCAGAGTGGCTAAATAAATAAAATAAATAAAATACAATAAAATCTGATAAACCCAAATCTGATGGACAGTTAAAAGTCCAGCATAAAAAGAACACATTAATTACGGTATATTCCGGCGTATAAGAAGACTTTCTAACCCCGGAAAAGAGGTTAAAAAGTCGAGGGTCGTCTTATACGTCAGGTATGGCTTCCTCCCGGCGTGGAGCCCACCACTGCATTGGAAGCTGCTAAAGCTGCTGCAGCAGCAGCAGTGGGTGGCGCGTTCTGGCTTAGCATCGCTGGGCAGCTTCACCGGGCAGCTTCCTCCCGGCGCAGAGCCCGCCGCCCACTGTCACTGCCCAGCGAAGCATATAAGACTGCCAATGGGGGGGGGGGGGTCGTCTTATACGCCCAGTTGCCTAATACGCCGGAATCTACAGTATCTACTGGCTAGTTAAGGTGACAGAAGAGAAATAATTCAGCACTCAATTTCTATGACATTGTACAAGTGTATCATGAAGGCTTGAGCATGGGAATTTCTCTTTCCCTCATAGTATTGGGAGACAAAGGCTCATGAAGAAATAATAATTTATTTATACATGCATGCATACATATATATATACATACCCATCCCAGCCACTCTGGCAGGTACCCCCTTCAGACCTATCTGCAAAGCTGACACCAGTATTCAAGGGTAACTATTCACAATAAGTTCTATTATGCACTTAATACAGGGGTCAGCAACCTTTTTCAGCCATGGGCCATTCCACTGTCCCTCAGACCACATGGTGGGCCAGACAATATTTTGGGGGGGGGGGGAAATGAACGAATTCCTATGCCCCACAAATAACCCGGAGATGCATTTTAAATAAAAGCACACATTCAACTCATGTAAAAACACCCGGCGGGCCCCACAAATAACCGAGAGATGCATTTTAAATAAAAGGACACATTCTACTCATGTAAAAACACGCTGATTCCTGGACCGTCCACGGGCCGCATTTAGAAGGCGATTGGGCCACATCTGGCCCACAGGTTGCCTACCCCTGACTTAATACATTCTTAAGCATTGTACAATGATCAGGACAGATCTTACAAGCTGAGACATATGACACTAAAGCAGGTGTGGGGAACTTGTGGCCCTCCAACTGTTTCTGGACTACAACTTTCATTACTCCTGACTACTGTCCATGCTCCCTGCAACTGATGTGAGCGGGAGTCCCTTCCCTGCACTAAGGGAAGGCAGGATGAGGAGTGGCAGTGAAAATATGCAGATTCAAGTGTCAGTTACTAATTGCTATATAATGACTACAAAACACGAGTCCTTGGAGGGGAGGAGACATTTGATAGTTGATCCTGGCCTGATTGCTGGAGGGGGCTTGTATTTTCCCCCACCTCTACTGCTACATCCAGGTATAATAGTTATGGACAGTAGTAGTACTATCAGTAGTTCAAAAAGCCACCCAAACTAATAGGATATAGCCATTCTTTTAGCAGAGGAAACTTTATAACATTTTGTTATTTGAAATGGTGTTTCACCTAGGGATGGAGAGGTAATCTGCAAAGAGGAATAGGAGACCTGGTACAAACGACACGTGTTGCTCTGACTTCCTAAAGCAACACAAACCTGTCTTAAAAAAATAGGGGTGGGTGAGAGGTTTCAACATAAATTAGGCATGTCGAAAAATCCGTTTCGGGGGCCTAATTCGGCCCACCGGTTGATTTAATCCAGCTCCCGTGGCAGTATATGTACTGGGGTAAAATCCTAAAAAAAAAATCAACAACTTTGGTCGGCCTTCACGCATCTTCACTTCATCAAATCTGGCCATCTTTGAAAAATGTTTGGGCACCCCTGACATAAATGAAACACAGGATATAAAAACAGATCCTGGCTGGATGACACAGTGCAGACAGGCAGAAAGCGCAAATGCCTGCATGACTCTTTCCTTGCCTGATGGAAGGTCCCTCGCCAAAAATCAATAAAAAATAAACTGTGAGAATCCCTTTTTTTAAAGTTATGCAGGCTTGGACTCAGACCTGGCATTGAACTAAATAAGAGATCCTATCATTTAAAGAAGGGACCAAGATCCAATGGAGGCTCCTTGGTGGAAGATGGGGGAGGTAATGTCCAGTGATTCTCCCTTTCCCCTGCAGTCCTTTATGCCTCCTACCCACAGTATTGCAGAGGGTTCCCCAACCCTCCAGAACAGATTTTTAGGGGGAAAGGTATAGGGGGCCACAGAAAGAATTGGTGAAGACTGCCTCACCACCCCCATCCAATTCTGCCCACGTGAAAGTCCAGCTAGTGTAGTTCTGCTCTGGGCAACTCCAAATCTCATGCATCAGAATTTTATTTTTTTACAAGTACTGTATTAGGCATTTGATATTTAAAAACGACAGTGCTCAGATCCTAAGAAGGCATAATAAACATTGTTTGTCCAGATGTTCATTCTTCTTCTGCAACATGGATACATTTTGATGCTACAATGAAAAAAGTCTCCTTTCAAAAAGCATCACTTACCAGTAACTACTATGCTGCTCATGTTAGAGTTCGGACTATTGAGTACACTGCCTGAAAGAAGCTCGTCAGATCCTCTCTAAAAAGAAAGAAACAGTAAGCACTTTGCCATTTAAAAAATACAAACACTAATATTAAGCATGTAAGTGTGAAATATCTTTTTTTTTAAAAAGAGTATCTAGGAAACCTAGTTAGAGGCCTGATTCACATGTCACATCAAACAAAAGTTTAAAACAAACTATTGCTTAATGTGAACGAGAAGCACACTAGTGCAAACAACTCAAATATTCCTGAGTACTCCTCCCCTCCTCTTGCCATGACATGGACAAAAACAAACCAGAAGCGGTAACCAACTTCTCACTGCTTGTGGTTTTTTTGGTGAGGGAAACAAAGCACAAATTCAGGTTCAGGCATGGGAAATGAGAACCTCAGAAACTTTTAAGCATCATGCAACAGCATAGAGCTTGTTCACATTAAATCACAGCTTGTTTTAAACTATGGTTTAAGGTGATGTGTGAACGAAGACTTATCAGATTTCCTCCACGACTCTTTTCAGGTAGCCAGTCAAAAGAAACTAAAATTATTAACATACAATTGTTCATCCAATACAGACAATTTCTTCACTGAAAACTGCACATAACTTGTAAAGATAGCAAGACTTACTCAACAGCCTATGGAAAGATTAAAATGTTTTAAAAAACTAAGAGTGCATCAGCTTCAGTTAGCATCCTTAGCTTACAACAGTCATGAAAAAAATAATATCTATATACAATCAAAATGATATTTGTAAAGGAACCTGATTATTATTATTATTTTGCTATGATTTCTAATATAGCTATTTATGTCCCATCTCCTTTTTGGTCTTTTCCAGTTTCAAATTGAACTTTTCAGACACACTGGAAAGATAACAAGAAATATCCCAAAGATATATTTCATAAAGGGTCAAGTTACCCTTAAATTTGTAAACTAAGATCAATTTCTTGCAATGCATATGAAATGTGGCAAAGTATCTACTTTTGCTGCTTCCTCATGTTGCAATCACAGTAGACTTTTTTACTGATATTTTACTTAAATCTGATTTTTGCTTTAAATTTCAATTAAGTGATTTTTTAATAAGCAGGATGAAAATGAAATATGAACTTAATACAAAAATGTAAATTATATACTTATCTTAAAACTGCATATATAACCCTTTTCAAATATAATGGCTGTGTTCAGCCACAACATTAAACTATGATTTGGTGCTACATAAACAAGCCTTAGACTCCTACAGTTCTACTTCCCCATCTCTGGCATAGCTGCAAATGGTGACTAGAAGCATTTACTTCCATTTTCTACCAACCAGGATTTGCCAATATATCAAAACCATCGCAAACTCTTGTTAACTTTAACTATAGTTTGTCCAAACAAGTAAATTTCAAACGGTGGTTTACAAATCGCTCTTGGACCAATGAACCATAATTAAAACTAAGGCTAAAGTCGGAATGTAGCTCTAAACCATTATTTAGCACTACGTTCAAACAAGAACATTGAATTAAAGTCTGTTTCTATGTAAAAAGAAAACTAATTCACTTCAAAGGGCAATTGATATAAATATGTTACAAGCAGTCACAGATTATGTTCTCATTGCAGGAAATTATGAATCAACGAAATTGCCTGGATATTTATTTTCTTGGAGCCCTGTTTAGGAAATATATGAAGAAGATATCAATGAAAATCTTAATTCAAATCAATGATTTAAGTCAACTTTTCTTCTTGCTCATTTCAATAATAATTTAAATTAACTTATTCACAAAGCCTCCCAAGTGGATACTATCACTTAGAAATGAGCCCCAAAGTAAAGTGATAGCTAGTGATGTTTTTGTGACTGGCGTATGTTCTCAGTAGTCAGCCCCACTTTCACATTTCACATCAGCTGAATTTCCAAATTGTTTTCAAAAGGAAGCCTAAGTACACCAAATACGACTGAAGTTAGTTGAAGGCACATTATGGATGTCACCTATGCATCCAGCAGCAACGCTGAATGTAAAATAACATCCAAGTGTGAAGCTGATCCTTCAAGAAGCCAACCCAATTCAGAACAGGTTCAATATTGCTCCCATGGAAAGATATGCCATTATCAGCTAATGACACTTCTCTCTTGTCTTGTCAGTTTACTAATGAGCATGCTATGCACCTATTCAGGACACCTATGCCCACATCTGGAATTAATGAAAAGAAATGAGAGAGAGCTTGGTATCAATCATATATTGATTGCAGCCATCAAAATGAGTTCTACCAGTAGTTTCATGAATGTGTTGAACAGTGCAAAGCACAATACAAAACCATGAAGGACACCATAGAGTAAATGCCATGATACTGAGCTACAGTATCCCACCATCACTTTCAGTTCCTTCTTGGTGGACAGATTCTGGTATAACTCAGAACTGAGCCAGAAAACTCCTCCAGGACAAGCAATCCAAAAGTATGTAATTGGTAATGGTATCTAATGTGACTCTGAGATTATGGAAAATCAACAAGGATGCTTTCCTCTGGCATTAATCATCCACCAAACTGTCTCAAAAATGAAGCAGAGGTCAGAATAAAGTACATCTAGAAGATCAGGATCACTCAGGAATGCCCTAGAGCTCAGCAGCCACTACCTGCTTGATCTCTTGAAAGGGAGATAAATCACCACACAATAATGGGGGGGGGGGCAAATATGAAAGCCAAGATTGATCCTCAGATCACAGGTTCACCACCTATTTCCATAAAGCCCTAGCCAGCATGGTTCATAGTTAAGAATGACAGGAGTTTTCGTCCAAACCATCTGGAGGGCACCACTTGGGGGAGTGCAGTCCCAAATGAGATTGAACACTGCATTAGCAGTCATACCAGCCACCTACCAACAGCACTTCCATGTTGTCTGAATGGAGTTTAGGTTGTTAAATTTCATGCAAACCACTACTGTCTTCAGACACAAATTCAGTATGCCCGTGTCATCTCACATGCATTGATAAAATGAAGAAAGAGCCTGGTGATAATCCCTTACCCAAAGTTATATAGAGCATAAGGCACAAAAGGAAGTGCTAATGAACTCCAGAACGGATGCAATGGTTCAGAGCAATAGCCCCCAGCACCACCTTCTGGAACTGTCTCTCTAAGTAGGAAGCAAACTATTGAATCATGGCCCCTCCAGTTCCAATACTAGGTAGCCCCTCCAGCAGTATACTATGTTTGATGGTATCAAGAAGTGTTGAGAGATCCAGACATATTAGCAGGATCACACTTCACTTTTCCTTCTCCTAATAAAGTTCATATAAAATAACAACCAATGCAGTTTTAGTTCTGATGACAAGCCAGAAGCTATACCGAAGTCAATCTATTCCATCATCATTCAAACTATGCCTGAATTTTACAGTCACCACCCTCTAGCCATAGACAACCTTTCCAGTACAGGGAAGGTTTTATTTGAACAACAATCATGACTATATTTGGTGTCTAGAAAGAGTTCCTTTGGAAATGGCCTCAAACCCACCTCCTTCAAAATGACTGCAACTATTTCTTCTCACAAAGAGGTATTAATCACTCCCTGAATCCAGCTGGTCAACCCTCTCCTTGATCAGCATAAATGAGTCAGGAGAGGCATGGAATTGAACAGACAGGCTGAATTTAGGCTGTATTCCTCGAAACACCTCCATATCTTGAAATTTATCCCCAAAAGAGAGGAAATTTAAATTGTATTACCTTCCTTAAGCACCATAATATAGTAATAAATTTGGTTAGGTACTTAACTAGTGCCAACAATACACTGGGTACAGTCAAATATCTGATTCTACAAATATTATCCTTGCACCCACAAATATGTAGTATTTTAGCAGGACATTCTTGTCTCCTAGGCCTACAGAGAAAATATCTGTTCTAGATTTGCCACAGTAGAGATTTTATTTATGCCATCTGTCCACATAGCTGAAACAGGGCCATGAATTCTCTCCAATTCTCTGAGCCTATCATAGTAGGTCAAGTGATGACTCACCCTTTAATCTCTTTAATTACTAGGAAAGCATAACACAGGCATTTAGGTTTTTGAATAGCAAGAAGAAGAAAAACTTTGAATTCCCAAGTATTCAAAACCTTATCACCTCATTAAGCCATTAACTTTGGAATAAGAATAAGAATAGTAACATGTTAGCTAGGGCATTTCTACACGATTAAAGAATATTGCAGAAATACAGAAGGCGTTAAAAAAAATCTGTGGTGCAACCATGCTTGGAATACTGTGTCCAGTTTTGTTTGCCACACCTCAAAAAGGAAAGAAGGAAAAGGTGCAGAAAAAGGTAACAAAAATTATTAAAAAAACAAAAAAAGAGTATTGTTGGACTTTAAAGACTAACAAGTTTATTATGGCTTAAGGTCCCACAAGAGTCTTTGTTCTTGCTCTTTTTACAGCAACAGACTATCATGGCTCCAGGGATGGAGCAACTACTCTATGAGAAAAAGTTACAACAGTTTTTTTAGTTTTAGAAAAAAAGGAAGCAAACAGAGGACATAGTAAGAGGTGCATGGTGTGGAAAAAGTGGATAAAGAGACGTTTTTGTCCATCTCACATAAATACTGGAACTCAGGGTCATCCAATTATGCTAAATGTTGGAAGATTCAGGACACACAAAAGGAAGTAATTTTTCACACAGCACATAATTAAACTATGGAATTCACTACCATAAGACATTATGATGGCCGTCAATTTGGATAGCTTTAAAAGATTAGGCAAATTAATTTATGGATGAGGGGACGTAAGTGGGCAGAGTGTTCTCCTGTTTATATTCTGCTTCCCATTGGTCTCTGATTGGCAGCTTTCAGAACAGGAGGTTGGGCTTGATGGGCCCTTGGTCAGATCCAGCAAGGTTCTTAAGTTCTTATGAAAGGCATGAGAGTAGTCACATAACTTTGAAGGTTAAAGTAATTTTTGTATATTACTTTGCCTCCGGAGCCATTAACTAGGAAGGAAAAGTGATGTTTTTTTTGTTAACCTGCTCTATAATGCTCACAGGCAGTGATCACATAGATATGAAAAAAAAATCATTTATAAAATAGGTTGTATCTAATTACAGACAATTGTAAGTAAATCAATTATTATTCATTTAAGCTGCCCTCCTAATGTTTTCTGTAGACTACACACAACATTTCATTGCCTAACAAAAAAGATACTATGATTATAGAGTTCCAAGAATTTAAGTAAGTTGTTTTCTTGAATGGAAACCTGGACCTGAAACATATTTTCATACACTTCCACAGTACAGATTTTGACCTTCCTTGGAATAAAGTTCTTGTCATTATCTCCCATGCCTCAAAAATATTTTTTTTTAAATCAAGTGGGTTGTGTGTTCCAAATATTTCCAAACAAATCTGTGTAGGTGGTTTCAAACAAAAAGTGATTCAGTCTACAAGTCAAATACGGATTTACAAAACTAATACCCTAGTTTCACTAACAGAAATACCGTAACTGCAATAGAGTATATGGTGAAGCACTGTATATTTGTACAAATATACCTGTCCCATTATAGCAAGGACCACATAAATCGACAAAACCTATAATCAGCTACTATTCAAACAGCAATTCCTATACTGATAATGGGAATGGGCAATATACATTTTGCAAAGCAGAACTGTAAACCAGCAATTTCTTGTGCTTTTTGCAGGCAAAAAATGGAACCATCACCATAGCCAAGAAGTTGCCAGATGGAAACCCCTAAACCAAAATCAGTCTAACAAAGGCCAGCTTCCCCCCCCCCCAACCCATACAGTCCCTCCTCTAAGACTTCGTTGCCCAGACTCATATCCAGCTCTAGCCGTTTTAAACATGTTCCAAGGAGGAACAGCAAGATTAGGTTGTTAGGTACACAAAAAGTACATCCTAGACTCATGCTTTTGGAAATGTTCCAGAATATTTGCACAATTCATTTAGGGCCTATAAAATTTTGTCTATAGCTCTAGTTAGAAGAGTTCATACAAATTAAACTGTATGACTTGCCTTGAGGAAGAAAACTGTGATCATTTCAGAAAGATGTGTGCGCCCAATGAATCCATACAGCCAGACAGATTTTTAACCTGCACTGCCCAATTTTCACTTTATGAAAAGCCATTTAACAACAGAGCTCCATTCAATTAATTGGTTTTTTGATGTCAGTCAGCTGGTCAGCTACAAAGCATGCCAGGAAATGTTTTGCTTCCCACTACCATTGTATTCTTATAAGTTATTAGTTAATATGTATTACTTAAAATAAAGTAATAAAGTCATTTCCAGTTAAGAGGCGCGGTTAATGACATGCTTATTTTGCTGAAGAAGGAAGGCAGCAAGCCAGACAGTCCTTTGACCAGAACTGTGCTGATATCACCAATGATGCTTTTGACAAATTAAACTATCTCCTCAAAACTGTCAGTTCAACTCTGCAAAAGGCAAAATGCCATCTGGAAGAATGACAGTTTATATTCTTCTTAGAGGCAGTTGTGTTGAAGAATATAAGATGGGTGCTCCCAGAATTCAATTCCATTTTCAAAGTATATATGCTTAGCTTTGAGAGATTCTACTCCTGTTACTGGTCCAAATATGTTCACATGTTCCCAAAAGAAGGGCATATTCATTTTATAAGCACAGCACTGTACCATAGCAAGCTTTATCTAAGTCAGGTATGGGGTAGCAGACGTCTCAGGATCCACTGGTAGATGAATAATTTACAGTGGATCTAAAGGGTGTCTGGCTATCAAATATTTAAGAACAAAGGAAGCTAGGGAAAATAAGAGTGATTTGCATGTGAAAGGATTTCAAAAGCAATTCTGATACTGAAAACAAATTCCTAGACTGGATGTATGCTCAGAGGTACATTGTTGCTTAATTCTTTCTCTTACCACCACTGTTTTTCAAGCACTGATGTAGTACGGTATATGAGTATAAAGTACAAAGCACCTGGCCTTTACCCCATGTTAATCCGAACTTACAATTTTACAGGTTCCGTGTTTCAGAGCAGTAGTGTTTTTAATCAAGACTACTCAAAATAAACCAGGATCTCAAATACCCCAAAATTCAAGGTTATTACTACCTGTTATCCTAGTATAATCTGTTCTCAGATTAGACAGTTTTGAAGATTCTTACTGCAGGTCCAATTCAAGCATGTTTTTTATCCCTGTGAGAATTCTTTGAGATTGCATGTTCCCATCTTCCATGTTAATTCCCCTTTCCATTTCATGGCCTGCTTTTGCTATGATGTAACATTACAGTTACATTGGTGCAAATACATAATTAACATTAACCAGAATCCTTCATAACCAGGGTTTGCAAACCCACTTCAAAGCTTGCATACAAGAGCCACCCTGTTTAACACTAATGCTACATAATTAGTATTTCATACATAAGGTTAGTTCACATCATTTAATACTGCATGTAGAAGCAGGCACACAATACCAATTACCATGGTTTGGTCCTTGGTTGCACAAACCATAGCTTAGGTTTGGATTAAATGGTAAACTGCAGTTTGTGGAGAATCCAGAACCCAGGATTAAGTAAAGAAATCATGACACATGAAGGGAAGCAGGAGGGTGACTTGGAGGTGTCTGCTCATGCATGTAATGTCAAACCACAATTTGGCAATATCTGAATCACACGTGTAATGTAATACCACAGTAAAAGCAAGCCACAAAAGGAAGAAAGGAGACATGCGTGCACAAATCTACAACATACTTCCAGTCTGCAGTCTAGAAACTAAGAACATTATGGCTACTTTTGGGTCACTGATTAGAATCCTAGACCTTTGCAATGTTCATAATATAGCTAGAATCTAGTTCCTTTCAGTCCTATTTTATGAATTCTGCATTAAATATATTAAAAACACTCTAATTCTAGTTCCACTTAAGACACACAGTCCCTACAGTAGGAACTATGATGAGAAAAATATCAAAGTATTTCAATTCACCATGAGGTAAAAACAGAAATATTTTTCTTCCACAGACATAAAGCTGGTTGGATCCAGAAGACTATTACTTAAACATTTGCTATCTATAGGAAGGTATTTCAAGGGGCTAACGTCCACTTTCCATTTGCTAAAACTTGTTGAGAAAAGAACCACTTAACGATAGGCTTGACAAGAGGATGGTACAGGTGAACAACAACAATTACAACAATTACCCTGCAAAGGCAGCCCATCACTAGTATATACACACACATATATACTGAAGGAGAGGGCAGTGGGCTGTTATTGTGAGAGCATGGGTTATATCAATCCTGCAACGCAGCCCACGGGAGGGACCAGGAAGTCATCAGATTTTTCACTATGAGAGCAGAGAGGTCTGCCCTTGGAGAGGGAGATGTGATTTCCTAGGCCTCCAGTATGAGGTAAGGGAAAGGTACATAGCCAATTCTGTTCTGACAGAGCATGAACATTGGGAAGTGCAGAAAGAAAGCATTCCAGAAGAGGCTGTGGATCCACATCTCCTCCATTCCCCAGACACACACCTGGAACATGGGACAAATTACACAACTAGTAGAAAAATGGGGAAAAAAACACAGGTGTGGCAGGGAATGGAAAGAGGCAGTTCATCCACTTTCAGTTATGTCCCCCACTGACCCTTACAGATTGCTCTGCACATACTGAATTATCCAAGCACAGGAAATTGAACCTATGTTGCAGTAAATCTTAAATCTCTTTTGATACCCACATTTGAAATATCCTGCCTGGCCTTGGACAGAATGTTGCCAGACCGAGATAAATTGATCAAAAGACCTGCAAAAATATAGCCAGTTTAGGACTCATGAAACGTGTATTCTTTGCATACTTTAGGATTGTTATTGGAGGAGAGCAGTGTTCTTGTGCTCTTAAAAGCTGCATGGCAGGCAGAAATCCAACTGGTTAAGCCCTTTCTGGGATGGAATACAATTATGGGAAAAGCTCCATCTGTTGACATTCTATCAGTCAGTCATTGTATTTGTGTATGGCTCCCAGAATGATTTTTTTTTGGTGGGTCAATGACCCTTTACAGAAAGAAGAAGTTTCCCATCACAGCCTTATACTTACCAAACAATCAAATTCACATAGGGTTACAATGTCACCTGACATGGTTAAAGTTTTCCCCACTATGGCAAAATATATTCAATTTCTATTTAAGATACAGCAATTATTTCTAAATTTGTATCTATAAATATAAATTAACATACTCAAGTTATTTGCAGATTGGTCCCTCTTTTGTGGGTGGGGCTGAGGATTCAATCCACATACAGTGTACTAGAAGCAGAAAAAGCTTCTGGCACCTCTGACCGAAAGTGACCGGGACAAATAGTCAACATTACAAATTAACATTTCATACCAAATTTGGGATTATTTATTAAATTCATAACCTACCTTCACACCAACTGCAACATCAGTGACAATGCTGAAAAAGAAAAGAAATTTTTAAAAGGGGGAATTCACTTTTATTTCTCTTTTCTAATAAGAAAGGAATTCTCTTTGAAACCAAACATTCAATATATTTTAAATATTTTGGCATTAAAATGCTTACTTGTAGTAATTTAGACTTACTCATGACATACTGAAGTAACAAGGTGGCAAGAACTACCTTGTGCCACACATACAACCAAACTTGGATTGGTGATAATGGGAGCCAAATAGGATAAAGAATACCTTTTGTTCATGTTTTCTTTACAACAGTAAAAGTACATACAAGAGAGCAAATCCTAATCAAGATCTAATCAAGCACAACAGACCAGGCTTATAAAACTAGATGTAGAAGAAGTTATTTTCCATGTCTCAAAACTAGAGTCTGGATCACTGAAGCTGAATGGTGGGGAAATCAGGATAAACAAAAGGAAGTATAGTGGTACCTTGGTTCTCGAACTTAATTCGTTCCAGGAGTCCATTCGACTCCCAAAACCGTTTGAAAACCAAGGTGCGGCTTCTGATTGGCTGCAGGAGCTTCCTGCACTCAATTGGCCACACCGGACGTTCGGCTTTTGAAAAATGTCTGCAAACTGGAACACTTACTTCCGGGTTTGTGGTGTTCGGGAGCCGATTTATTCATCAACTAAGCCATTCGAGAACCAAGGTACCACTGCACTTCTTTACACAGTACATACCGTATTTTTTGCACCATAACACTCACTTTTTTCCTCCTAGAAAGTAAGGGGAAATGTCTGTGCGTGTTATGGAGGAAATGCCTATGGGTGGCATGCCTACGGATTTTCCTCCTCTAAAAATTACGTGCGTGTTATGGTTGGGTACGTGTTATAGAGCGAAAAATACGGTAGTTAACACTATGCTACTATGAAATGTGGTGATTACTTCAGAAAGGTATTAGAAAAGTTAATGAGGGGAAAAGGCTATCATGGCTACATAATGGCTATACAGTGGACATGCGGGTTGCGAACATGATCTGTGCGGGATGCACATTCACAACCTGCGTCTGCGCAGACGCGGGTTGCGATTCAGCGCTTCTGCGCATGTGTGACCACTGAAACCCGGAAGTAACCTGTTCAAGTACTTTCGGGTTTCGGCGGTCTGGAACCTGAAAAAACGCAACCTGAAGCGTCTGTAACCCAAGGTATGACTGTATGCTACCGCCAGAATTTGAGGCAGCACACCTCTGAATACTAGTTGCTGGGGAACAGGAGTGAAATAGGAGTACTGCCCTCATGTTGCAGGCATCTTATTGGCCAATGTTAGAAAAGGATGCTGGACTACGATAGGCCTTTGGCCTAATCCAACAGGACTCCTCTTATGTCCTTAATGTCAACAAAGAGTTGCACAGGCAATTCAGCAAATGGATTTTAGCAAGGCAGGGCAAGAAACTTCATAAAGCCTAGAACTAGAACCCGGCACTGAATGTGGATGTAGCAAATAGCTGCTCAAGAAAATACAACTTGTGCGTATAATAATCTTGCCCGCTGCCAATCCACCGGCTTGGTTTCGAGTTACATGCAAGCCTGGGCCACAGAAGTTGACTAACTTTCCCAAGTCTTAGCAGGGCTCGTCATGCTCCTGTTATGATCGCCAAGCATCATGCCGTTATCTTATTTATTTTATATGTATAACAAAAGCCAGTGCAACCATTTTATCATGTACACAAGAGATGGCCGGCTTCATTTCAAAAGCAGATTCAAGTCTGGCGAAGGCAGTAAAAAAAAATAATCAGCCCTCTATTTACGCTGTCACTGAGCAGGGCCCCGAAAGCGGGACTTCCCAGCTTCCAATAAAAAGAGGGCCTTGCCTGTGATACGTCCGCAAGCTGCCCACCCAAGCTCCTCACCACCAATGGAGGGAGGCCCTTTGCCTTGTTTCCATATGGCTGACGCCTGCAATCCCTGCCTTCCTTTCCTTCGGCTTGGTCTGCCTTGTCTCCAGCAAACACAAAGGCATCTTTTTTTTCCACCTTGGGAGGTTGGGAGAAAAGAGGTGGCATGTACACACACAAGGCCCCAATGGAAACAAAAGAGCCTCCTTCCTCCTGCTTCCTTTGCCCCAAATGGGGGGCATCGCTGCTGCTGCTGCTCCTCCTCTGTCACCCTAACCCAAATGAAACAATGGGGAGGGGTGAGCTCGGGAGGGACGGGACAAGGGAGGAGACAAGGGAAGGGAAGAAAAGGGCGTTCCCCACGGGGAAAGGGGCCAGTAACGTGTGAACGCGGGGATGCCACGGGTCGCGGGGATGTAAAAGGGGAAAGAAGGGGGGCCTCTTCCCACAGGGGCCTTGTCTAGCCCAGCATCCCAGCGGGGTTGCCTCATTCCAGAGGCCCAGGCCTCTGTCAAAAGGCAAGACCGGCCCCCCAACCACCGCCCCTCACCCGGGGCAGTGACAGCCGCCTCGCCAGGCGCCTCCCCCCGGGGAGAGGAAAACACCCACACACGCCCCTCTTCTCCCCTCCTCCCGGGACCCCCAGGCTTTCCTCACGCCTCGAGCCCGGCAGGCGGGAAGGAAGGAAGCGCCCCTGACACATAAGGGATGCGCTGCCTGCCCCCCTCGGAAAAGGGGGAGAAGGGAGGCGGGAGAGGCGGCGGCGGCAACTCTCTCCTCCCTCTCTTCCTCCCGGTGGCGGCGGCAGTGGCGGCGTCCTTCCCTCACTCACCCGTCCATCGCCGAACAGGACAAAGCGCTGGCGACCAGGGCAGGGAGCCGCGCAGGTAGCGAGCAGCGAGAGAGCGAGGGGAGCAAGAAAATGGCGGCCGGGCCCCAACGGAAACCGCCGAAGGTTGCCGAGCGCTCTATCTAGCAGGCTCCGCTCTCCCCATCAGACCCGCGGAACTCCTTTGTTCTCAGTGGGCATGCGCGAGAGGTCTCGGGCATGCGCAGTCCGCGCGGCTGAGGGCTTTTGTGTATGTATATTTCTTGCCCTCAGAAGGCAAACAGGGGGGTGGGGGGAGATGGCGAGAGAAATTGGACGCGCGCACACACACAAAAAGAAAAAAAGAGCGGGATTTGTCTTTCTTTCCCTGTGTTGGGCTTTGAAGCACGAGTTAAAAGGGGGAGGGGGAACCTGGGGGGGTTTTTTGAGGCACAATTTCCGAAGGAAATTATTTAGGATCCCTGCACCCTGGAGTTTCATCTCTGTGTATATTGATATGCATCTCTTTGTTAATAATGATTATTTGCACGGGGAGAGACTCCATAAATTGTCTGACTTTGACCTGAGGGGGAAAGAAACCCTCTCATACACTGGGCCTTCCCCCCCCCTTTTGCCTACTTCAAGAACTATTTTTCCCCTAACTTTTCTGTTGATTTTGCCTCTCAGTGTGTGAATAGATACAGCATTGACATTAGTGGGGTTTACTTCCAGAAAGACAAGTTAGGAATGGGAAATAATAATAATAATTAAAAAGGAATGGGTGGCAAGATTGCCACCAAAGTTACAGGTTGAGACTGTGCACCCGACGTCTCCATTTTCACTAAAATTTCGTTTTTGCAAATATAGCAGTAAAACAAAAGACAGGAAAATCATCAGCTGACATGAACAATAAAAAAATACTCCTTTGGTCCTGATTTAAAAGTATAAATTAATATAGGCAGCCCATATGTCTGAACAGGTATCCAGATGAGATTGGTGTAGAAATGGCAAGGAGAAATTCAGAGCACTGAGTAGATGTTGGGTATTTTTCCTTTCAGCCTTGCTGCATAAGTATCTTTGCATCCATAAGGGCTCACAGGGTCCATTTACGTTGCACATCTGTTAGTGCGCACGCCACAGGAATGCAACTCCAAGACTGCATGTGCCAGAGATCAGAGACTTCCTACTTAAGTGATAAAACATGGAAAGCAGTAGTGATGCTGCAAGCCTCAAATTTCCCAGGGACAAGAACGTCCCTCAAACAGGCTGGCTCCGAGGCAGCGCCTTGCTTTGACAAATAAGAACAGGGGTCGTTCTTCCTTAGCTTCGGCCTTTTTATTATAAATATATATTCCTTTGTATATTAATAAAACAGGGTGGACCAGAAAGGCAAAAAAAGTAAATCCACAGCCCATACAAATATAATTAATTAACTAATTACCTTTCTCTTACTCCCAATAATAATATTCAAGCAGGCAGGCCTTCAGTGTACTTGACACATAAGTGTGTGTCTCATCCTCTGGTTACATATTTTTAAACCCTTCTTGCTACCCCCACGGCCTGCACAAATATCTTGGGGGGGGGTCACATGGTTACTATGCCTGTGTTCAGAGTGCACTATATTCAGCTTTCTGACATTTCCTTATCTCTTTGTTTCCACATTTTATTTGATCTCCCGCACAACATAAAATCCACAGCTAGAACCTGAGTGGAAGTTTAGTGCTAATTCCCATATTGTTTACAGGGGGCGGGCGGGGGGAGTCCATTTGCAGCCCTGGAAACCCATAACATTACATGAGTTTTGCTCCCGCAACAAAGAAATTGGGCATACTGCATAGTGAATCACAAGGGAACAGAAATATGCATGCCCGGAATGGGTTGGGGAACAGCAACACATCCAAGGCTGTTTGTTTTTTGTGTCACACCATGTCTACTGGTGTGAATGAAATCTAGGCCAGCATGGAAATATATTGATCAAAAGTCCACAGTTCCATAACACAGCAGGTAATACAGTGTAAAAGAAACATTAGAAATTGGGACAGAAACACTTGCATTATCACAAGTAAAACTAACACAATAAACTCAAAATCCAGATGCAGCCTTAATCTCATCAGAAACTCAAGCATGTCAACAAGGCCAACAAAGTCTGGTAGCATTCCAACAGAGGCTCCAAAATAAGGACAGCCCCTCAAAACATATCCTTGGAAATAGAACACAGTTCAAAAAACTTGTTTCACTGTTCACTCATTTCAAAACAGCTTTCCTCTAGCCTTTGGAGTCTTCAGTTCTCTGTTAGATGACAATAAGAAATGAGCAAAGAAATATTCAGAATCTCTGGGCTCTGCGAAATATGAACACCTGCAAATTTCCAAGGATACAAGAATATATGCACAATGTCTCTGTTGGATGTTTGTTCCCAATAACCTGCTGGGTGACTGCGCAGTCAGGAGTTCAGCAAAGCGATTAAACTTCCCCCAGCAGACAAAGTGTAGCAGAGTTTTACTCAGTAAACATGAAATACACCATACACACACCATATACAGTTGCTTCAAGAATGCTTCTCTCTCTGAGCCCAGAGAGGGTTTTCAGCTATCAGAGTCCTTGCTTAAAGTTCCCAGCAAGTCCATAGTTGCCAAAGTCCTACAACTTCAGTCTTCCCAGTTCTCCAACAATCCTCCTCCACATGTTCCCACTACTCTCCACAACCAGAATGCTGTAATTGGAGCTTCTGATACAGGCCAGTTGGCACAACAACAAGGATAAGACAGTCAGGAGTGCTCTGCAGCTGTATCCTGGGGGGAAATCTTTTGCACTAACTTATGGAAAATTAACTCATTCCTTAACAGCTTCCTCTCCCACTTGAATCAGCTTTGAGTCTGTACAGTCACACATCATTCCTATCAGCAAATCACAACCATAGTTCTTTGATGTGGAAGGGATAAGAGCATCTCCTTCAGAAGTGGTAAGCCCTAAGTTTCAAGGTTATTGTATTCATTTACAAGGCCTTAACAAATCAAGTCCAGCATACCTCAAGGACCACCTGACTGTGAGGAAAATTTGTGCCCAGGGTAATCGCCCAGAGTATATTTTGTTCTAGAAACAAAGCACTGTCCATAACCAAGTGTAAATCATAAAGTGAGACGGTCTTTAGAGAAGATAGCTTCAGAAGATATAATCACCCCATAATACAGGAGTTGCCTGTGAGGTGCTCTACAGAAGTCATTGGATTGCAGTTCCCACCAGTCTCAACCAGCATGGACAATAGAGATGACGAGTGTCCACCATGTGGAGGGCACCACCCTCCATATTGCGAGGACAGCACTTTGCCTCCATGCAACAGGTTGTGTGGTGATAAAGATGGAATATAATTTGTTTTTATGTCGTAGGTGTATATGATCATATGATGTCCTCCTGATGACAGTGAAAGTAGTTGTGCCATTATGCACGATATAATTGCAACTTGTCATGTTTAGCCCAGTCTACACATATAATGTGCCTTACAAAATACTGTGGTTTAACTGGATTGTGGATCATAGTCCATTTATGCATTAAAAGCTATCCTAAGCACAAGCAGAAACTCTATAGTATTTCATAACATATTATCTGAAACAATAACAGATTTTACACAATGTAGTCTGTATCTCAGCCAACATCAATGTATGTAAGAAACAGAGTAAATATCTAGAACATTGTAAAGAAGTGGGATAACTAAAAGTATGAGTATCTGTAGGGTCCACAAAGATTTTGAAAGTTTTGCTTGCTTTTTCACAGTATACCATAATAGTGTGATCCTGCACACACATTTGTTAGTAAGCTCCATTGAGCATAATAAAATTAATCTAAACATGCATGCATAAGATCAGCCTGCCACAGTTTGGAATTTCATATCACTTACTCCGGAGTAGTCCCACTGACCACAATAAAGATGATTAGGCTACAATCACTTGCAAACTTACCCGGGAGTAAACACAGTGGGACTTTTGTATAAATGTGGTTAGAACTGGGCTTTTAGAAAGTTAGTGATTTGTGGATCATAGCCCTAATTCTTAAGTGGGCATATTTGCATTTTAAATGTATCACGTAATTTGTTCAGGTTCAGGGAAACACATTAAAGACAGAGTCATTAGCAAAGTTGAGTTAAATGTGCTGGTTTAAACATGTTCAAATTAGATGAGGTCTAATGGGATCTTTCATGTTAACAGCTACAAAATGGATGTCACCTACTAGAAATATTTGATTTTCTGAAACACTCACACTTTCCTTTTTCTTCATCCAAGAGGAAAGGACTTTTCAGCCCTCTATAGACAACCACATGTCGTAAGTGATATAAAAATACTACATATCTTCAGACTTCGCCAGTTCTCTGGTACAATTTTCTGCTTCTGTCATTCTGGATGTGGTATGGAAAGAGGAGACAGTCCAATTCAAAGGTGCAGATAAAAAGTAAACTCAGTCTGTTCTCTTTGCTCAATACCAGAGACAGGGATGAAATACTGATGGGATGCTGCGTGTTCCATGTGAAACCTACTGAATTTCTTTGCCTCTAGCTTATCTCCCCACAAGCTCCCAGAGCTTGCATACCAGGAGAGGGGGACCTTTTCAGCTCCGCTATATACCTAAAGATCTTGTACGCAAAGCCGACATGTTGTGAGGACAGGAAAGGGTTGCGCACAGATAAGTCTGCTGCAAGATACTGAGCTTACCGGAGAATAAATTCATGTCATATCCGCAGTGGAAAATGAAATGGGTAGAAGCTAAGTATTGGACATGGTAAAGAAAAGGGAACTCTTAAGGAAACCATGACCCACTCCTCCAGGAATATCCACAACCACTTGCAAGTATTTTCTCTCATGCCATTTGTAAAGTATGCACATATGTCCTACTTTAGTAAATAATTTATAGAAATTAAAATGTGCCTTTCAAACTACAGTGGTGCCTCGCAAGACGAAATTAATTCGTTCTGCGAGTTTTTTCGTCTTGCGAATTTTTCGTCTTGCGAAGCACGGTTCACCAAAGTCTTCAAAAACCTCAAAAAAGGCTACCACACCGCGTGCTATGAGTTGCTCCTCGAAGTCAAGTCGCAACTGCACCTCTTCAAGCAATGCACCCTGGGTATTAACGGTTTTAAGAAAAAGGAAACAAACTTGCAAGACGTTTTCGTTTTTCGTCTTGCAAAGCAAGCCCATAGGGAAATTCATCTTGCGA